AATTTGGATGAGAAGTGAAATGGTACATGAGTTAGGCATTATCCCATTTAATTACTTAAGTTTTTGGGTTACATTTCGACACACTTAGGTTGTTACCTAATCATGACCTATATATACCATTACAATTGATATGAGAACCATATCCATGTAGACACTAGCATTTAATGGATTTTTGTTTTGATAAATTGAACCATCAAATATTGGTCTCGTATTTAATTAAATTATTTAATTGGCTCAAATTTGGTCAACTTAAATTATTTAATTAATCATAATATAACCGACCTGGCCAGTTATAATTGTGTCCTTGTTAAGAAATTACATATGTCATCATCATATTAATCTAAGAAGTCTATAAATAAAGGTATGGAGGAGGGAGAAAAATATCTAGAAATTGAGAGACTCGAAAATCCAGAATTCCAGAGCCGCCGGCATATTAAATTGTGCACAACAAGCACATTAGGGGATTTTATTATTTTGCAAAGTATATCATATAGGATTTTTCGTTCTTTATTTGCAGAGTACGAAAATTGTGTATACACTCCAATTCCGAACTAATCTAGTTTTGTTTTGTTTTTATTCTAGCTGAATCGTGAAATTGCAATTATAAACCAATGTTAGTATTTTGTTTACCAATTCCATTTCAAAATAGAGTGCCATTATGAGAGGTCTCTGTATATATATATATATATGTTCTTGTTGTGATTGGGTACATATATTGAGACGCATATATAATAGCTTGAAATAGATTTTATGATAATTATGCAACCAAAACTTCATTCCAAAGTTCATTTGCAGTAAATTACATTAAATAGTCAAACAGTTATAAAAAAATAAATATTTATTTAATTTGGTCAAATTAGACTATCAACTTTTATTGTCTCATATAAATTTATTTTATAATATTTTGATCAAATTACAATATCAAATAATTTTTACATTATTATTTTTGTCCAAAATGTGCTAATTTAAATAAGGGTTTAGAAGAAATGTCACGAGTCAATCTCAAAATAGAATTGCTATTCAAAGTCACTAGGAATCTAGATCTTGTAAAAAAGCATGCATTAAATGCATTACCAAACTTGAAAACGGTTAAAATAAAATACACAATATTTTATGTAAATAATATAAATAATGGATAGTTTCTTTAAAATTGAGGATACTAAAATTCCCAGCAATGATATTTAACAAAAAGTGGCTAGTGTAATTTATTAATACACTTGCAATTGCTCATGATACCCTTTTTTAGCTTCTAGGGTCTATTTCTTAGTTCAAGATTCCTTTTACTAACTGAAATTAAAGAATTAGTAGATCCGTTCCGCCCAAAATGGGAATGGGCTAGGGTTATGATGAACATATAATCATTGAATCAACTCGATCATTTGCGATCAAGAAGTACTGGATTTTCTTTCGGATAGGCCTGAAAGGAGAAAGAAGCCTGGAATGCCAACTGGCGTCTGTTATTGAATTCACCCGACCCGATAGTACCCATTTTGGGAACGTCCAATGCCAAAGTCACAGAATGGGTAAGTCGCCAATTAAGAGATTGTTGTAGGAGAAGTGAATGTAATTGGGACAGTGCTTGTATAATTTTGTGTAATAATAGAACGATATAAAAAAAATTAATCAATTCAAACAAAAAAGAAAAGAAAAGGGGTTAGTCAGTTTTACATCTTTCACTTTCATTATAAAATTACGACAATGATGCAAATAAACATGGTTTGAAACTTCTCAACTCCCTCAATATTTCTACCATTTGCCACCTTTTCATCGCCATTCATGGACGAAAAGATAACACATTCGAAATCTTTATAAAATGCATGAGGATCTTCGGTAGATCTTTTTACCTAGACGTGCACTATACCTCACTGATGGATTCTAGGGTCCTCGACGCCATACTCCATTTATGTTCAACTTCTGTACCACAATTAAGTCATGAATTCGCCAAGGAATTCTTTGTCGACATTGGAATCAAATGTCTCCAATCATGTCCGACATCACAGCATTCAAGAAACGAGTCAAACGAGATTGTTAAACATAGTGTGAGAACCGTAGATTTGTTGGTAAATTCAAACCTGAATACGATCATTTTCACTTAACTGGTTCTTGATGGTGTGAAAGGTTAGGAATGAGAAGGGTTGTGGATTTTGGCGTTGTGGGTTCGGATGAATTATTGTTTGTTGTCTGAGTTATGGGTTTGAAATAGTTTAATGGGTGTTGTGGTGGCGAGTGGTGGAGAAAGAGATGGTGAAAGGGTGGTGGAGGATGACGTTGTTAAATTGGTATTACGGGATTTTGGAAGTGAAAACACAATTGTTCAAATGGGTAGAGAGATTGAGTCCGGTTATCCCGTTAAAAATTGGTATAAATCATTTGTTATTTAGGATAAGTGTCAGAAATTTATTATACCACATCTGTTAGAGAATAAAGTCCATCCTCTTAGAACATGACATAAGTATTATCCAATGTAATTTACCTCATTATAAAATCAACCTAGTTAAATTTAAGGACTAATGTTATTAATTTGTTTATTTCAAAATGCAAGGATTTTTTATTTTTATTTTTATTTTTTAATTTTTTACTTATAAATGTTCTTAGAGTGACTTAAACATTCCATCTTTTGCCTTGAAAATAGATTATTATACTTATAAGCGCTGAATATTGCACATTCAAGCCCTTAAAGTTGCATATCTTAGTTCTTTAATAATGATTATGCAGTAGTATTTATATAATTTACTTGGTTTCAGTTATTTTTAGGTGTTCATTGTCAAATTTGGCCAATTCTACCTAATTCAGACCTTTAACGGTGTTTCCAAGGATCGAGAGGAGCAATGACATGTTCGGGGACAATTCAATGCTTAAAATGATGAAAAAGTGAAATTTATGAAGTTAAGATAGGTCATAAACACCCTAGCAATATATTTACATGTTACAAGCTTTGCAAAGATCAAGAATTTATTTGTCAATGTTACGATCGATCGCCACAGCTCACCTATGATCGATCTTAGGTAATCAGAATTAAATCCTGATAGCTACGGGATTTGCATGTTTTACTTATTTCTTACCATACAAGGGCCGAACTTCATCAAAAGATCATGGTTCACATTTGGGCCCGTTCTGAGGTTATTTAATTTATAATTACCGCAATTGAAATGGGAGATTAGAGACGAGAATATTATACAAGTTATAACGATAAATTGGAGGCTAAGGGCTTTTCTCCATTGTTGATCGTTGAAGAAGGTGGTTACTATCAGAAATAACAGTCCATGGAGATGGCATTCAACACGTTAACGAAAATTTCTTCCTTATCCATGAGTAGCTAAATCCCTTCTTAGAGTATTGACGTAGCCCTAACCAAGTAATATGTGTTAATTGTTCTTATTTTTCGAGATCTTTTATGGATCATATATATTGATTGCATAGTTAAGAGCAATTGACTTAATTGTACTATGCATTTGGGATTTAATGATTATAATCGATTTTAATGAAATCTCTATATTGTCTTATAATTGATTTTGCTTTAATCGAATTCAAACTTCTATTATTTTATGTGATTACAAGAGTAATGATCATGCAATGCAATGATACTTAACGAATATATGAATGAATAGTTTAATAATTCATGTATAGGAAGACGGGTTGTACTGCATAGTAGATTAGAGTACTGCATAGTATATTTTATGGGGAAGACGGGTTGTCCGTGCCAACCGAATATGAGTTATTCTTAGTACTTGCTCATATATATCTTTATAATTGAATTGGAAGTGAACGTGATGCCACTCGATTCCCGAATATACATATATATGAATTTCCCCATAAAATATTACGATTGATCGTGTTATGAAGTTAGTGGCGAAGTCAATTCATAAGTTCCTATTCTCTTGATACCTATCATCTCATAACTTAGTTTAATTTCAATTTTTACATTCATTACAAGTAGAAATAACAATTAAACAAATCAACTCTTCTCTTGAATCGAAATTTGAAGTAATTTTATAATTAACAATTTTAATACGATCATTGAGATTTGACACCCTCTATATGGTTATATACCATAAGAATTTATTTTATTACGAGTGATTTATAATTGATAGAAATATCAACGCATCGTGTACCATCAAATTATGTTATTGTCATAAAACATAAGGGTATCTAAGAAAGTTACAATAGAGTTATCTCTTTATTTATTTATTTTTTTAAATATAGCTGACAACCACCTATTTCTTACTACTTAAAAAGAAAATAAAAATTTAAGTGAATGAAATTTCACTTATACGTAAATATTAAATGCTAAAAAGAAAGAAAAAAAAAGTGATAGATTAAAACGGATAAATATGTGGATAGGATTGCAACACCAAATTATTTTGTGTAGTTCAATTGCAATGTTAAATGCGCCCAAGATTATTATTGACTTGAAAAATGAAATCAGGCTCTCATTGATGCCATACAAAAGACTAATCAATTTTATTTCCTTTGCACCATCCATTTTTCTTCTTCATTTTTTTTCTTATGAATATTCAAACGCAAAAAAATAGATTCTTATATTTTTAAAAGTAGATTTATTTTTTTAATTTTGCTATTTCATCTCTTAAATAGCATTTCTTATTCCTTTCATTTAAATCACAAGTGACTTTTTTCACACGTAGAAAAACAGTTGGTGCATCACAAAGTGTTACGGAGAATAATTTATAAAATTAAAAGGTGGAGCGTCAAACTCTATTTATGTAAAAGTCAAGTATTTGTAAAAAAAACAAAGCACAGAAGAAAAAAACCACAAAATAAAAGTCCGTGCCACGGAATTTTTTAGTTGTTTTATTTTCTCAATATTTGCGGAGGGTACAATTGTCACTTTACCTTCTCTTCACTCACTAGGGTTCCAAATTTCCGTAATAAAAAAAAGGTAAAAAAGAAGAAGGGCATTAGCAGGTCAGATATATCGTGCCACCGGCTGGTGAATCCCTACCCGGTAACCGTCTATAAATATAGACCGACCTAGATAAAGGAGCACCGATCTCCCTCTCTCTCATCCTTTCTCTCTCCATAACGCTGTCTTTCCTTCCTCGCCTCATATATCTTCAGGCCAAATCAAAACCCTCCCTCTCTATCTCTCCCCCTCATATAAGAGGGCTTCTAATCTTTACAATACTTGCATATATAAGGCACTTGCTTTTCAAAATTTGGCGCTCTGGTCAATTTTCCCACTCTTTCTCACTCGATTCTACAGAAATTTCTTGGATTTTTCCGATCTGAACGAACCCTAGATTTCTCTTTATTCGAATTGTTTTGGATCTGTCATCTGTTTGTCTCAGATCTTTCTTGTTTTTGATCGAAAACTACTAAGAATCGATTTGTCGAATTTTATTTTTCATTATACTCTACTTTTGAAATTGAAATTAAAATTGGGTAAAGGTTGTGAAGAGGGCAGGGCATAAGTATATAAAAGTTTGTGAAAATTGAAGATTAACGGGTCGATTCTTGATCGGCTGGGTTAGGAGGGATATTAGGGTTCCAAAAAGTTTGTTGTTTGGGGAAGAGAAGAGGGGTAGATACCGTAGATGGCGGATCAAGTCTTGGAAGGGAGCCAACCTGTGGATCTTTCCAAGCACCCGTCTGGCATCGTTCCTACTCTTCAGTAAGTCTTCATCTCCTTCAATCAATTCCTCAGGTAGCTGTTTTTTTATGTAGGCGGCTGCTATTAGTCTTTGTGGTCGTGTATATACACACACACACACGCATAAACGCAAACGCATATTACAGCCTTCAATAGTTTGGGAAACACAAACGACCTGGACATAAGATACGGTTTCTTTTGGAATGATCACGAAGGGTGTGTGTATATATATATATATTCTTTTCGGTGTGTGCTTTTTTACACATTTCCAGTGGAGTTGGATTACATAAAGTGTATCTCTATGATCAAATGATATAAATATCGTTTTGGGCTCTCCTCTACAGTCCTGTAATTCAAATTTTGCATTTCATAAGAACAGTCTTTTATAATTGAAGAAAAACTGATTATAAGTGTACAGATATGGTAATTCAAAGACAGAAAGCAATTTGAAAAAGAAAAGAAAAGAGGATTCTTTTACAAAGATGGAAGTAAGTAGTGTCCATAGCAATAATGTGCAAACATACATAAATCAGCAACAAGAACAACAACATTGCCTTTTTCTTGATGGGTTGTTTGCGTGTCTTAAACAATTTTGCGTGTTAAATGTATTTTGTATATATTGTGTTGTTTCTAATTATCATCGTTTGGCTGGGTTTTTTCAGCATGGCAATTGAAAGATTTAATCATTTGGTTTAGAATTTTGGCTAAAATTGACTGTTGTTTTGAATCACTCAAGCTTATGCTTAGGGTTCCTAATATTATTTCTATTTCATTCTGTCAATGCTTTAGTTCTTATGCTGTCTTACAAAAGATGCCTCCTCTTCGTGTCATTTGATTATTTATACTAAATCATTCAATGTAACCCTATTGTGTTATGCTTCTCCAGAAACATAGTCTCAACGGTCAACTTGGATTGCAAGTTGGAACTTAAAGCCATTGCACTGCAAGCCCGAAATGCAGAGTATAATCCCAAGGTGTGCAATTTCCTCTAAAAGTTAATATTTATAGTTATGGATTGGAAGTACATAGATGATGATTTAGTCTTTGCAAATAATTTGAGGGAGAGAGAGAAAGATGCACTATACCCATGCATACGATGGCTTATCTTAGGCTACTTGCTTTTGTCCCAATTGGAAGTTTCTTTTGTCCCCATTTACCTTTTTGATTACTCATTTTCTTTTTTGTCTCTGTTTTGAATCCAACAGCGTTTTGCTGCTGTTATTATGAGGATAAGAGAACCAAAGACTACGGCTTTGATTTTTGCCTCTGGGAAGATGGTGAGTTTTGTGTTTTGTCATATAATTTGCAATTCTTGTCATCTATGAGTCTATGCCACGAGTTTATGTCATCTGTTGCTTTTACAATTGTCAAATTAAGTGAATAAATTGAGATGTCCTTGTAATATCTTTTTGGGGGATAATGTTTGCTTCCTCAATCATTGTTAGTGTTGTTTGTGAGAACTTCTATTTTTATGCACCACTCCTTGTAGGTATACAATCTAACAGCAATTTGTTTACTTGTATTGATCAGCATGCGGTGAATGGTATGTCACAGGTTTAAGATATCTCTTTGGTGTCTGTTCGTGGACATGGATATGGGCTTGTTTAGTGGCCTAGAGAAACTGTCAAGTGACTCAAGTCCATGCAGACACCATAAATTTTAAGATGGAGATGCTTATGTTCATGTTATATGGATGTAAAGCTATATACTTCTGTATGTGCTTATGATTTTGTGCCTTCTTTAAAGCATGGATCATTGATATCATATTCAACTTTAAATACACTGGCTTTTTAGCACAAATGCTTGTTAAAGTACCAAGGTAACTGATGGAAACTTGGAAGTAATTAATTCGGCTCAAGTCCTGTGAGAATTTTTTTGAACGCGTTCATGTAAGATCAAGTATAATTCTTCTGCACTTCTCTTTTCAGTGATACCAATCAGCTTCCCTATATAATCAAGTAGTGGTACATAATTGTTAAATGGGTCTAATATGTTGTATATTTTTGTTCAGATGCTAATCAGCTTGATTTTAAGTTTTTCTTTTTGGGTGGAACTTATATTTGCTGACTTCAACTTTATTTTCCAAAAGTACCTTCATATCTTAATATTTCAAATGACTGTTTTTGACACTAAACTGTTGGAACTTCTGGATGTATAATAAATGTTCTTGTTGCTGTATATCTTTTTGTCTTGTCTTGATTTTTAATGGTTCTCCATGCGATCTGTGTTAAGTTTTGCCAAATTGATTTTAAACAAGCTTACGAGCTTAAAGTTCTTCATTGATGCCTAATATATTAGGTTTGCACTGGAGCTAAGAGCGAACAACAGTCAAAACTGGCTGCAAGGAAGGTATGCAAAGATATCTGGAATTCATAAATATTTAAACTTGTAATTGTGACGTTATCAATAGTTGTAAATTTAAATGCAACTTAGGTGGATTATTTATTTATTTATTAATATTATTTTTGTTTTGATTTTGTATCCATTTACTTCCAATGACCTTCAGATAGACTATTTTTCTATGATTTCTTGATTGAAATTTGAGGCCCGTGTCAATTTGAATTGTCTAGAATTCTGCTGCAACTGAGTCCATTCACGAGAGATTGCTGTTAACACTTTCAATAATGCTACGTCACTAGCTCCTTTTCAGTATAGATATAGTTACAATTATCTAAGCTGGAAATAATTCTGGGGAGTTTTCTCATCTGACATTATATTTTGTCTTCCAGTATGCACGTATTATTCAAAAACTTGGGTTTCCTGCCAAGTTCAAGGTACTCTCTCCCTCTCTCTCCGTGCGCATGATTGTGACTAGCACAAATGCATGCTTTTTACTGCTAAGCTATACTTGCGTACCGAAAGCTAACTAAACATTTGTTTCTCCTTTTTTTTGTCCCATTATTCTGATATATAGGACTTCAAGATTCAGAACATAGTTGGCTCCTGTGATGTGAAGTTTCCTATCAGACTTGAAGGGCTAGCATATTCCCATGGTGCCTTTTCAAGTGTAAGTCACAATATGTCAAAAAATTCTCATTTCAAGAAATAAGGTCTGATGGATAAATTCTTTTATTGAGGGTGCGTTTAGTAACGTTTTCGTTTTCTGTTTTTGTAGTCGCAAGGAAATGGAAACATAATTTTGTTTTTCGAAGTAAAAACAGAAAGCAAAAATAACGTTTAGTAACCTTTGTTGTTGCCACAATTTTAATAACAAAAAACATAAAGCAGTGTTTAGTAAAAACATTTGTTACAAAAAGGAAAAAAAAATACAGGACAAGATAAGCGTACAATTATATAATGTATATATTTAGAATATAAAAATAGATTTTATATATACGTATATATTAACAAAAAATTTGAAAACAAACCACAACCCATACATGTATAACAATCAGAAAAAGGGAATATATATATATATATATATTAACAAAAAATCTGAAAACAAACCACAACCCATGCATGTATAACAATCAGAAAAAGAAAAAAAAAAAATACAGGGCAAGATACTAGCAAGACTGATTCTCCTCCTAATCGGAAACAAAAAACTATTAAATCCACAACCCATACGGGCAGATACTATTCAAGTCTTAGATCTATTGAATAGAGGAGAGAGAATGAGATATGAGGACGTACCTTTTTGAGAAGAGAGAAAGAGAGACGTGAGCCCTGTGATGAAGAGAGAACAATGAAGAAGTACTAATGGAAGAGTAAAGAGAAGAAGAAAGTACTGATGGAGTAATGTCAGCAGTTGTGTATTAATGGAAGAGTAATGTCAGTTGTTGCGTAAAAAATGAGGGAAACAGTTGTGAAAATGTTTCCTCTGTTACAGTGAAAAAACACAAGAAACATCATTTTGATGTTTTCTCTTTCTTTCACAAAATTGAGAAATGTTTTTCATAAGAGGAAACAAAAACAAATTACTAAACATGATTTTTGTGTTTGTTTCTCTTTTTTAAGGATTGACAACAGAAAACAAAAAATGTTTTGGGTTACTAAACACACCCTGTGTAGTATTAAATATATATATATTTTTTCAATTCCATGAAGTTGGGCTTCTTTTGCTGACATAAAAATATCCTTTCCGTGGCTTCATGTACAACCCATAATCACTAAGATGACATTTTCTTTTATAAAATCTAAACGTTTTCTGAGGTGTATGCTTCTGCTGTATGCACATGCTTTTTATGGGCACTTCATTAGGGGTGATCGATCTGTGTTTTATTGTTGCAGTATGAACCAGAATTATTTCCAGGCCTTATATATCGTATGAAGCAACCGAAGATCGTGCTTCTCATATTTGTGTCGGGGAAGATTGTTCTTACTGGAGCAAAGGTGATGCAGGCTCTCTCTCTCCATCTTTTGAAATATATTTTGTGGTGATCTTGTTGTATTCTTTGCTCACTGATTTTTGTTTCTGATTCCTTAGGTGAGAGATGAGACATATACTGCTTTTGAGAACATCTACCCCGTCCTTACAGAGTTCAGGAAGAACCAGCAATGGTATGGCATGATCTCTCTCTCTCTCTCTTTCTCTCTCTCATACACGGTAGTGTCCTTGTAATGAATTAGAACCACATGCGTGTGAGGGAGGATGGCTGTTATGGTTATTTTTTCTTTGGTTTATGTAATTTTCTTTGGTCCGAAAGCATGATCTGTGTTATTATCAGTCATTTTTTTAAAGAAGTTAAATTTCTTGTCTTCTATTTTCTCATGGCAGATGTGTTCCAGGAAAAGTATCAGCTTCCGGTGACAAGCTCAACTGCAAACATTGCTCTTTTCTAGGCATGTTAGTAAATGCAGTGGGTTCAACTGTGAATATGCGGAACTGGGACTCCTAGATGTGCCTCTGATAAATTAAAGTTGTGTCAGTTTCTAAATATTTTTCATCTTCCTGAGTGTGGGTATTGTTCCCCAACCTTCGAAAAGCAGTGGGCAAGATCCCATTGCTGTGACCTGGGTGACTGAAGAATGTTCATGTAGTGTCTGCCAATTATTAAGGTTGATGGCAGAGAGAGTGGACTGAAGAACAAGTAGAGTACCTTTTGGGTTCTTTAATGTGGACTCTTCTGTTATTGATACATAAATCCGATTTTGCTTGTAGGGCCCTTATTGTGATATGAATGACTCATTCTGATTTTGAGTCTGAAATTTTATTCTTGTATAGTGGATTGGTTGGCTTAACAACGTTGCGATGCGTGGGTGGTTCTGCTGTGATGTTTGTTTAATGCTTGCTGAACATAATATAATGTGTTGAGAAGTTGATTATGGCTGCTTGACGATCTCAAACTTGTGCCCTTGCCACTTTTAGAGTGTTTGCATAGTGCGCAGGTCTAGTCTTAAACTATGGGCGATTGTGTTCCATATTAGATCTCTTGACCTCAAATTTCCCTCGCAGTCTTAGTGAGAAAACACATTGTTATTAATTTTCTCTTCCCTAGAATTACTCTGGAAGTGGTTTGTCACTCTCTCTAATTGCCCGACTTGGTGGTAGTCTTTGTATTCGGTCCCTTAACTGTTTTCTTTGTACATGTATAAACTATCTTGAGTGATTTCATCCCATTTTAGGAGTGTATCTTTTTCCAATTACTGAGTAGTATTATTTTTATGTCCTACAATGTATCCATCTTAAACATTCAACATTTTCCGAGTGTTTTTGTTCCCCACTGATTGCAAAGAGTGTTTTCTTGGCTACTCAATATTTGCCCCGCTAGTTGATAATGTTATGTTGAGGAAATCAGACACTTGAGCTAGTTGGGCAGATTGTTGACTGAAGATTTTGGTTCTAAAACTTGTGTTGATCTGGATTATTAGAGGGGTTCTTGTGCTATTAGAGGGTCATCTCTTTGTGGTGCAAAAATTGTTGTTTCCAACACCCTTCCCTTGCCCTCAATGTGTTGCAAGACTTACTATTGTTTAAATGTTGTCTTAGAGGAATTAAAGAAAGGAGGCCGTATTCACGATTGAACTTCAATCTTCAAAGGAAATGACATTTTTTACCATAAATTCATAACTAAATTATTATTATTTTTAAATCTCACAATTACCTTTTTAGATATATATCAAACTACCTCTTTCTCTAATTAATATATGATTTTTTTGGTCTGTTTTTTTTTTTTACACTTATTTGTTCAGAGTTAATTTGGAATATTTTAATAATGAATTCACCTAATTTATGATAAAAGTCCTATATATTTTGACAATAAAATCACAAGAAAATGAAAAGAACAGTAGCAAGAAGTGCAGTAAACGAGATAAGATGCTTGAAGTACCACTATGAAAGATAAGAAAATCTTGAGTTATTCGTTAGCTTGCTTATACATTATTACTTCTTTAATGGTCATCCATTTAGAGTCCACAATAGCTATGCATATGCCTTGGCTATTAAGAAAAAGAGCTTCCATGTTGTTGGGTAAGTTTAGAGAATTGTTGGGTAAGTCTATATTATGTTGTTTCTTAAATTAAGCATGTTGTTTATGTTCCATAAAAAAAATTAATAGAAGAAGTAAAGAAGGAAAAAGAGAGTTAAACTTTAAATAATAAAAAAGGGTAGTTCTTCTATCATAAAATAATGAGTGAAGCATTAATTAGTTCAGAAAAGTGGAGTGAATATTGCCTCCTTTAAAGAATTTTTGAGTTTAGTTGGATCCAACTTTGCTCCACCATAGGGTTGCTATAGCCTATTGAGTCGAGTCAAGCTTGAAGCCAATTTTGAAATCGAGTCGAACACCAATGTGAATGTTTAGATTTCAGCATACACCATTGTAATGCCAGCTAAAGCTTAGCTCCAAAGCAACAACATTTGCAACAGCCTTCTTGTAACCACCAGGCTGTGCTCAGGAACAACTACGAAATCATCTTTAACATAAGGTAGGGCATTAGAAAAAAAAACACAAGCACGCATAAAATTATTACATGATTAAAACCACGTGAAATGAAATTAACGTGTAAATAAAAAAAGCTGATCCATTAGTATTTGCATGTATATCGGACTGTCAATTTGTTATTGGTTTGGTCACATGATCCCGGACCTTGTACAAATTTTTTTTTTAATATTACATGTTAATATTTTTTAAATATTTAAATCACCCTTGTTCAAACATGAATTTGGACTCTTTCCTTTGCAGTAGACTATTCATTGAATCCTTTCCTTGGCACCAGATGATTCAGTGAAATGAGAGGGAGTGAGTGGGCTCCACAAATAGAGTGGATCGGAGTTCTTCTCACCATGCTCTTCCAACCCACAACAATTGAGTAAATATACAGTTCTTCCGTGTAAATTGGATAAAATCTAAGTTACACAATTTTTCTTACCAAGCGTCGCTTTTACATTATGAGTGTGCTTTCGTTCTCACGCTCCGTGCACATTTTCACTCAAATTCTCACTATTTATAACATAATTTTACCCTTTTTATACTCTCGCATTCGAATTAGCTTTCTCTTTATGCGATTTAGGATATTAAGATAAGGTAATCATCTTTTAAGTTGAAGTGTGAGAGTAAATAACAAATTAGAGACTTCTAAAAGACACGAACAAAAGTGTCCTTTTACCATTTTCTCGATCCAAGCACGTCCAATGTTTCACGATCCCAACATAACTCATATTCAAAATGTTGAACATGAATTGATCTTGAGATGGATAAAATATGCCATTTTGGATTTGTCTCGATATTTGCCTTTTATATATATAAAAAATTGAATATATATAAAAAATGTAAACAAATTCTTAATAAATTCGTTTTGAAATGATTAATATATAATAAATCAAGTTTTAAAGGAAAAGAAAAAGGTCGATTACGATTATAAGTATATACAATATATTTTAAAACTTCATTAAAATTTAAATTGAGGTTGGGATCAAGTTGCTGACATTTCAACTTGAGGTCAACCTGATTAAGTTTATGGTAATATATTTTAATCCAAAATCTCAACTCTAATTATACAAATAATCAGGGATGATAATTTTTTTCGACCTGTCGAGTTTCTATCCCGCCCCGCTCCTAATGGGGTAAATTTGGTAGCCTCCAAATGGGTTTGGAACAAGTATGATAAAATAATTGAAAACTCGAAACAGGTTTGGAACGGGAGTGAATTTATTGATGAACCCTTCCTGATTATGTATGTACCTTTAATTTTTTTTTTTAATAATTATATAAAATATATATTTAATATTATAAAGACTTGTTATTTTGCTGAAAATATCGGTTAATATATTAAAAATTCATTATTTAGTTATTTAATAGTTGGACCAACTTATTTATCAACCTAATTTGAATACATTGAACTGATTTTATTTGACTAAATAATAAAATTGACATAACACACCCTACCCTATAATTAAACAAAGTACGCGTGTCGAGTTGATACTTTGTCTGTCGGTGTAAAAGAGAGAGTATATTAATTACAAACTCGTCCTAAAATAATAATAAAGTTAGTAATGAATTTTCTAACGTGATGAAATAGAGTTTAATCAAATTTGCCCCAACTCATCGCTTGCCATCCCTACAAATAATTGTCTAAAATCTTCAAATATCAAATTGAACACTGCGGTCAGCCCACTCAAATTAGATAGTAATAATAGAAGATGGTCCGGGTCCGGGTTACTTAATAATTTTTCCAAGATAAACACAATTAAGTCACGTGGACGAAAGATAAGTAGAGGGCAAACTTGTAATTTGGCGAATAAGAAGTTAAGAGCTGAAGATATTTGGGAATTGGAAGGAGGGAATATGTGGTAACGGATTCTTCCTACAAAAAGAAAAATCAAACGCAAGTTTTCCCACAACTATCACACTTCACATTTTAGTAAACTAATTTGGGTTTGCAAGTCAAGTGAGGGTTTCGGTGAATCTTCCAAACAGAACTCACACAAATCCCCTTTCTCTCCCTCATCTTTAATGGCACAGTTTACAGCACAAGGACGCCTTCGGTTGCTCTACAACGGTGATGGAGTGTCGAATGGTTTGGAACCCAGAGACCCATTTCCCCAAAACGCTCACTATAAAGTTCTTGGTGGTGGGTTGAGGTTCGCCGACGTAGCCCCAATTCCATTTCGATTCTTCAAGCGTGATCTCAGATTCCATGGTTCTAGTAACAGATCATCGTCGTCGTCCTCTGTGAACAAATCCAGCCATTTCAATGCGGAGTCGCGCTTAAATGTTGGGAATGATGGTATTTACGATGACTCCGCGGACTCTGAATTTGAGAGGGACGAGTTGGCTTGTTTTAGAGGTTTGGTCTTGGACATCTCTTACCGGTTCGTTTCCTTTCATAAATTTTTATTCGCTTTATTGGAAAATTTTATTGCATTTGGTGTTATGGGTTTTTGATGTGGAACAATTTGAGACAGAGTTTTAGAGGAACTAGGTTATTTTTCTTGGAGGGGGTAAAGATTATAATAAGTGTTTGTTTGAAGTTCCAAATGAGGTTCAACCTTAATTTGATGAAATTATTGACCTTGTACCTGAGAACTTTGGATGACCTTCCAACCCATGAAGGAAATCAATCATTTATAGATGATATTCTTGGCTTGAGTCTACCTTATTTACAGTATTAATGCTCGAGTATATTGGAGCATGCTGAGTTGAAAAAGTAGGTTTCATGACTTGTTAAGAAGAGAGAGCACAAATATTTGTGCATTTCCTGCTCTTCCTACCCCGAATAAGGATGGGACTTGGAGAGATCTTATGACTTATAAGTGATATTTGCCAGCTCTGGTTCTCAAGGGAAGAGTGAAAGATAGGTTTCAAAGACCAGAGAGGGTTTTTATGAGTTGCTCTTCATGCCATTGGTTTGTCTAAAGCTCACGAGGGTCCTTGTGCAATTCTTGCTTTTCTCACCCTGAAAAAGGATGACCCTTCAAGGATGTGCATCGACATTCACTTTATCAACAAAAATACTACAAAGTATAGGTTATTCATGTTTTGGCTTGACGAAATGCTTGGCATGTTGAGTGGTGCAAAAATATTCTGCAAGGTTAATCTAAGATTGGATATCAAGGGACTAGGTACAACTGGGAATATAATGGTTTCTTTGGTTCATTTACCTTTTCCAGTCATTCCTGTTAGAATGTTATATATATATATACACACACACAAACACGTGTTGGGTCATTATGTAATTACATATAGTTGATAGGGCCCTTGTGTTATTAAGTAAGAATTTTACCCTTTATATAAGCCTTATTAGGCTTAGTTTACTGTGTTAAATATATACAAGAAATGGTTGCTCTCTCTCTCTCTCTCACATATGATTTTGAACATGGTATCAGAGCTACACGATCATGGGTGTGAGAGTTTGTAATTGGGTTGTTCTTGTATATGATCGGCATCGCGATTGTGGTGTTGGTGGTCTCTGCCGGCAGTTCCTCGTTCGTCGCCATCAACAGCTGATTGTTCACCGTCGTCAGATCTGCAGCCTCGTTAGTCGTCGTCAGATCTGAAGCTTGTTCATCGCCATCTCTGCCTTGTTCGTCGTCGCCGGCAGCTCCTCTTTGATTGTCAGCAAGCTCGCCGACATCTGCCGTCTCGATTTGCAGATTTGCAGAGGTGAGGTTCGTCTTTTTTGGCCGGAAGTTACAGCGGTTGCTGCTTATTGATTCGGCCGTTGCTTGTGATTGAGTTGCTGTCGCCTCCGCTACGTTGTTCACCGGCGTTTGTGAAGGTGTGAAGAAGAAGACCCGTGTTTGGCTACACGGTTATGCTATTCCAACCCTGGGATAGCTATTCCAAACCTGGTTTACTAAACCTGGGATAGCCCAGATCCGGCCCGTTTGCCTAGAACCGGACCGTTTACCCAGATCCGGCCCGTTTGACCAAGTTCTGCTAGAATACAGATTCTGCAAAAAAAAATTTCTTCTCTGTTTTGCTGGATTCAACATGGCGTCCAGTCCGACTTGCTTTCTCCCGCGTCCAGTCTTCATTCTCCCATGACTTCAGTTAAACTCAATGGGAAGAATTACATACTGTGGGCTATATCGGTTGCAATTTTTCTCAAAGGCAGAGGTCTTGGTACTCATCTGACTAAAGATAAAATCAAGGAAACTGATGCTTCTTTTGCTGCATGGGAAAAGGGATCATCTCTGTGATGATAAATAGTATTGAACCCCAAATCAGTTCAACCTTACTTTATTTGGATACTGCCAAGGAGATATGGGACAGATTGCAGCAATTGTATTCTGGGACAGGTAATATCACTCGTGTTTATGAGCTCTGTAAGCAGTACTTCAATCTTGAACAAGGTAATTACAGTATAGAAGAGTATTATTCCAAAGTTGTGGGAGTCTGGGAGGAGCTGAATTTGTATCAACCCATTACTGTTGATGTTCGAAGTATGCAACAACAGCGTGGGGACTTTAATGTTGTCCGTTTTCTTACTGGTTTGTCATCAGCATATGAGTCTCTTCGTGCACAGATTATGGGCAGTCCCACACTTCCATCTTTTGCTGAGGTGTTTTCTCGACTTCAGCGTGCTACACTTGCAAGTGACACCTCCAATTTGAATACTGGACAGAGTGGTGAGCGTTCAGCATTGGTAGTTTCAAAGGGTGAACATAATGCTTATCGTGGAGGTCGTGGGGGACGTTCCACACGTGGTGGTCGTGATTCACGGGGAGGACGTGGCTGTGGCAGGGAATCAAGAAAATGTCCTCATTGTGGTCTTTCTAATCATACTATGAACTTTTGTTGAGACCTTCATGGCAAACCATCTAGTTATGCAAATCAAGTTTCCTCCTCTCCTCTGGATCTCACAACGTAGCTGAATCAGACACGGTCCCTGTTCCACGGGATGAGTATACTCAGTTTTTGTCTTATAACCAAGCATCTAATTCATCTTCCACGGCTACATTTGCCTAGTCAGGTACTGCACACACGTGCCTATTGTCTTCCACTCGCAGTCCTTGGATCATAGACACTGGAGCATCTGATCATATGACTGAATGTTCTTCTCTTCTATCTGATTTTAATTCTGTACCCCTTTCTCAAAGTGTTACTCTTGCTAATGGTTCATCCACTAAGGTTTCAGGTTTGGGGACAACTCAGCTTAGTGATTCCTTGTCTCTCTCGTCCGTTTTACATGTTCCTCAGTTTCCTTTTAATTTAATGTCTATCAGTAAGCTTACTAAATCTCTCCAGTGCTCTGTTACATTTTATCCTACTTCTTGTGTGTTTCAGGATCTCAAGACGAAGAAGAAGATTGGTACGAGGCATGAAGTTGGTGGCTTATATTATTTTGATTTGGAACCTTATCCTGTGGCTCTTCAGTCTTCTCTGTCTCCATTCCAGTGGCACTATCGTCTTGGTCACCCGTCACTTCAAGTTTTGCAGCGTCAAGTTCCTAGTCTTAGTCATTTAAAATTCTTGTCATGTGAAGTTTGTCAACTTAGTAAGCACCATCGCGTGTCTTTCAAGTCTAGGGTTAATAATCGTGTCTCTAGTCCTTTTCATTTGGTTCATTCAGATGTATGGAGTCCAATAAAGCATTCTTCAATAAATAAATTTCATTATTTTGTGACATTTGTGGATGATTATTCTCGCTTGACTTGGTTGTTTCTAATGAAAGATCGTTCTGAGTTATTTTTAATTTTTCAAAAATTTTGAAAATAAATCAAAACTTAGTTTGGATGCCCAATTCGTATTCTACGTTCTGATAATGCTAAGGAATATTCTTCAACTCCCTTGATACATATCTTAATGATAAAGGAATTATTCATTAAAATTCATGTGTATACTCCTAAACAAAATGGAGTTGCAGAACGTAAGAATCGACATCTCTTAGAAGTAACTCGTGCTCTTTTGTTTCATATGCGTATGCCTAAACGGTTTTGGGGTGATGCTGTTCTTATTGCCTGTCATCTTATTAACCGTTTGCCGTCATCTGTATTAGATGGCAAATCTCCACATTCTATTTTATTTCTTGATTCTCCCTTGTTTTCTCTTACTCCTAGAATTTTTGGATGTGTATGTTATGTCCACAATCTTGGTCCTGGTTTTGATAAATTAGACCCACGTGCCACAAAGTGTGTATTTCTTGGCTACTTTCGTTCTCATAAAGGTTATCGCTGCTGATAGGGAAAAATAAACCTAACCTATCTTGACCTAACGATAGAGGCAACTAAGTATTGACTAGCCGCCAGATCTCTTCTACTTTCGAAAGATAATATTTCGCTATCAAGGATAACGATTTCCATTAGATAAGTTCCATGAGTTAAGGATTATGATATTCCCTTATCAAGAATAAGGGAAGTGACGATAAATAGGAAGACGACTCGGGAATAAGGTACGACGAAAAAACTATTATTAAATCCCTGCCTTTCTTTTAGACCTCCGGTGACTAACTTGATCGTCGGAGAGCTCTTGACAGGCACCACACCGGTGCCGTCAAGATTCATCGATCTTCTACTCTCTTCGTTGCAGGAAAACAGTGTCGTATCAGACCGTGTGGATTTCACCCTCAACAGTTTGCGCGGTCTGTGGGAACGACGATTCCCTTAAATCAATTACTCGGTTGGGTATATGCACTTGCAGTCTGGTATGGTAAGTGGAACAGAAACATCATTGCAGGGATCCAGTCAAAGAGAAGGGTCGGGTGAGCACCCAGATGTTCCAAATGACCAGGAACGGCTTGCAGCGTTAGAACTAAAGGTCCAAACTCTGCATCAGAGTATGGACCAGTTGATCCAACAAAATGCAGAGATCCTGTGACATCTTATCCCAGCGGGACCACCACCTCAACAAGAATTGTCCGACCCATGTCTTCCCAATCTGCATGATGGGGGACAACAAGAGGAGGACCGAGAAAACAATCCTTCTCACAAGTTCGAGGAAGAACAAAGCCAAGTCGGAAACCGACACAGAGAACCTCCTTCCCCGCCTCCGCGGAATCCCCAGTCTTAAACAAGCACAACCTTCTGTGTTAAGGAAAAGACAGAGAAAGTTACCTATTTCGATCTACAGATTGAGGATCTCAAGGCGAAAATGGAAGATGTAATGCAGGCTATGAAAGGGAAAGGTCCTGCCGCCATAGATGACCTGGTGCAGAGGACCAACATGCCATTCAGCCCCGCCGTTATGAAATACCCCATGCCTAACAAGTTTAAGATGCCCTCGTTCGAAACTTCGATGGGGTCAAAGATCCCCTCGATCACCTGGAGACCTTTCACGCTCTTATGCATTTACATGCCATGTCAGATGCAATCATGTGCCTGGCTTTTCCCACTACACTTAAGGGATCGACAAGAGTTTGGTTCAACAAGCTGAAGCAAGGAACCATCAACACCTTTGAAGAACTGAGTAAGCAATTTGTGAGTCACTTCATTGCAGGTCAGAGGCATAGGAGGCCGACCACCTACTTGCTTACCGTGAAGCAACAGGGCGAGTCGATCCGGGAATACATCACCTGATTCAACACAGAGATGTTGCAGGCAGAAGAGGTGGACGACAAGGTGGCTTTGACCGCTTTCATAGGAGGACTCCAAACCTCCAGATTCTTGTTCGCCTTATCCAAAGAACCTCCCACCAGCATGGCAGAGTTGTTGATCAGAACACAGAAACACATTAACGCTGAAGACGCCATGAATGCACGGAAGGGAAAGGAAGGAGAGGACAAGAAGAGGTTAGCCCCTCTCATCAGGGATGAAAAAGATACCAGTTATAAGAAATCATTCTTCAGCCAAAGCGATAGGACATATAGTGAGGAGGACTCAGATAAGTATACCGACTAACAATTGTCTCACAGCTGGAATTAGCCTTGTCAAGTCATTCAAAATAAAAACTCGGGGCATCTCAGTTCATCATTTCACGTGTTATTTTATTTTCCAATAAGGTCACCATCACCATTGAGATGGATGACCCTCAATTTTTATGCAATAAAATATTACGTTTTTAGTTACCTACCTATGTGGTAATATTAAGCTCATCATAATCTATTTTTCTCATTAAAGGAACCAAGGGTAGACAACACATTCTTCCCTCATTAAAGGGACAAGAAACCGATTACTTCTTCTACACAGAAGGGTGAGATAATTAAATCTTCTTTCATTTACTAGAGAGATGAGACGATTACCTCTCGTATTAAATGGGTCACCCTCCTTCAGACTACACTTTTTTCCTCCATAAAGGAACGAAGGGTCAACTTCATCTTCTTCCCTCGGTAAAGAGACGGAGGGTTCACTACTCCCTTATTAAAGGGTGAGCTCACAACGCTCGAGCAAATCTACTTCCCTTATAAAAAGGGGCAAGAAAGTAATCATCAAGCATGCTTAGCTCAGTAGGACTTGGCATTCCCGACGCTTGACAAAAATCTAATTCCCTCACTAAAAGGTCGAGCCGAGTGAAGCTCGTAAAACCTAATTCCCTTACTAAAGGGACGGGCTGAGTGAAGCTTGTAAAACCTAATTCCCTTACTAAAGGGACAAGCTGAGTGAAGCTCGTTCCCTTATTATAGGAGTGACGAGCTAAATAAAGCTCATAAAATTTATTCCCTTGCCAAAAGGGATGAGTTGACTGAAACCCATGAAGTTTACAACTAGTATATTGGATTTTCAAAAGAAAAATCCAGTTTTACATCACTAAGAGTCATTGACCATGGGTTTGAATCCACGCCTTTCTAAACCAGAACCTTGATTTGGTATCTGTGTTAATTTCACCATTGGGAAGAGTACCCAAGGGAACACTACCCAAGGGCAGAGTACCCACGGGAAGATTACCCAATGGCAGAGTACCCAAGGGAACATTACCCAATGGCAGAGTACCAACATTACCCAGGGGCAGAGTACCCTAGGGAAGATTACACATGGGAACATCACCCAAGGGAAGAGTACCGAAAGGTTAAAAAAAAAAAATTATAAATTTACATTCCCAAAGCTAGACGAGCAAGCTTGGGAATGGGGGGCAACTGATAGGGGAAAATAAACCTAACGTATCTTGACCTAACGATAGAGGCAACTAAGTGTTGACCAGCCGCCAGATCTCTTCTACTTTTGAAAGATAAAATTTTGCTATCAAGGATAACGATTTCCATTGGATAAGTTCCATGAGTTAAGGATTATGATATTCCCTTATCAAGAATAAGGGAAGTAACGATAAATAGGAAGACGACTCGGGAATAAGGTACGACGAAAAAACTATTATTAAATCCCTGCCTTTCTTTTAGACCTCCGGTGGCTAACTTGATCGTCGGAGAGCTCTTGGTAGGCACCACACTGGTGCCGCTAAGATTCATCGATCTTCTACTCTCTTCTTTGCAGGAAAACGGTGTCGTATCGGACCGCGTGGATTTCACCCTCAACAGCTGCTATAGTCCTGTTTCTCAACGGTACTTTATTAGCGCGGATGTAACCTTTTATGAGTCCATCTTATATTTTTCAGATACTGATTAACTTCTTGATATCACTCTTGAGTCGCCTCTTTCTGCAGTTCCTCTTCCCTTACCTTCTCTTCAACCTAGATCTCTGGTTCCTTCGCCTGCTTCGTTACAGGTGTACAATCGAAGACCAAAGCCATCTGCTGTCGTGCCTCCTCCATCGTCTTCAGAGTCTTTGGATCCAACAGATTCCATTGTATCTGATTCCTTGCCTATTGCACTTTGTAAAGATACTCGCTCGTGTGTCACTAATCATCCCATTGCTCAATATGTCTCCCCATTGCTCAATATGTCTCTTATAATTCTTTATCGCCATTATTCTCATGTTTTTCCTTTTAGTTGTCTACTACATTTGTTCCTAAGACGGTGTAGGATGCTTTGTCTGATTCGGGCTGGAGGAAAGCAATGCAAGATGAAATGGATGCTTTGCATCAGAATGGCACATTGAATCTTGTTCCATTACCTCCAGGTGCCAAACCTGTTGGTTGTCGCTGGGTATATATTGTGAAGTATCTTCCAGATGGGTCCGTTGAGCGTTTAAAAGCACGTCTTGTTGCCAAAGGTTATACCCAGACTTATGGTATTGACTATGATGAGACGTTTGCCCCCGTTGCTAAGATTTCTTTTATTCGTGTTTTGATTTCTCTTGCTGCTAATAGAAATTGGTCTCTGTTTCAGTTAGACGTTAAAAATGCCTTTTTGCATGGTGACTTAGCAGAAAAGGTTATATGGAGCAACCACCTGGGTTTGTTGTTTAGGGGGAGTATCTTCACACTGTTTGTCGCCTTAAAAAGGCCCTGTATGAATTGAAACAATCTCCACGGGCTTGGTTTGGAAAATTCTCTGAGGTGGCATTAAAATTTGGTCTTAACAGATGTCAGATCGACTATTCGGTGTTTCACCAGCGCACTAAGGCTGGCTTCATATTTCTTGTGGTGTATGTAAATGATATTGTGATCACAGGTGATGATTCTGAAGGCATTGCTAAGTTGAAGTTGTTTCTACAATATCGATTCCATACTAAAGGCTTGGGTAAACTTAGGTATTTCTTGGGTATTGAAGTTGCTAGATCCAAGAAGGGTATAAGTTTATCTCAACGAAAATATATGTTGGATTTATTAGAAGAAACAGGTATGTTGGGTGGTCGTCCGGTTGATGCTCCTATGGATTCAAATACAAAACTTGTGTCTGATGAGGGTGATTTATTTAATGACCCGGGCAGATTTCGTCGCCTTGTTGGGAAATTAATTTATCTCACTATCACTCGACCTGATATTTCATATGCAGTTAGTGTTGTAAGTCAGTTCATGGGAGCCCCTAGAATGCCACATTGGATTGCTGTTCTTCGGATTATTCGATATCTCAAGCAAGCTCCAGGTTTTGGGTTACTACATAAATCACATGGTCATCTTAGGGTGGAAGGTTTTACAGATGCTGACTGGGCTGGTTCTCCTTCAGATAGGAGATCTACTACAAGCTACTGCACATTTGTAGGAGGAAATCTTGTTACATGGCGAAGTAAAAAGCAAACGATGGTAGCTCAATCTAGTGCTGAAGCTGAGTATAGGGCAATGGCCCATACCACTAGTGAGTTGACATGGATACAAAATTTTCTAAACGAACTTGGGTTGACAGTTGAAGCTTCTACTCCATTGTTTTGTGATAATCAAGCAGCAGTTCACATTGCATCAAATCCTGTGTTTCATGAGAGGATCAAACATATTAAAGTTGATTGTCACTTCATTCGAGAAAAAATATTACGTGGGAACATCTCTACTCCATTTGTAAAGTTTGAAGATCAATTAGCTGATTTGTTTACCAAAGCATTAGGTTATAACCGGTTAAGAACTATCTGTTCCAAGCTGAGATTATTTGATATATATTCTCCAGCTTGAGGGGGAGTGTTAGAATGTTATATATACACACACACACACACACACATGTGTTGGGTCATTATGTAAATTACATATAGTTGATAGGGCCCTTGTGTTATTAAGTAAGAATTGTACCCTTTATATAAGCCTTATTAGGCTTATTAGGTTTACTGTGTTAAATATATACAAGAAATGGTTGCTCTCTCTCTCTCTCACATATGATTTTGAACAATTCCCTTACCTTTTCTTGCAACTAGTCTTGGTTTCTTGGAACTTATAGTGGTTTTGCATGCAATGGATTGCTTAAGCAGCTTCACATATTAAAATTTGTGGTTTGATCAAGTTTCCATTAGTGAAAATTTGTTTCTAAAACAAAATTTTCATAGTATACTTGAGTTGTGTGGTTTATCGTTCATTCTTTACTAATTGTTTGGACAAAATGACTTGTTTAATTAACCAGAAGTTTTAGACCCAATTCGTGTAAGTTCTTTGGAATTCTTGTTGATTTTGATTGTATTCTGCCAGGCCTGTCAATGTTGTCTGCTGGAAGCGTGCTATTTGCTTGGAGTTCATGGAGAAGGTTTTAGACTCTCGTGACTCACTGATTCTCAATTCATTCATTCAATTTTGTTTTTGGGATTAGAAAATTTATTTATCGACTGCATTTTGAAGATAAATTAGAAGTGGAAACCTAATATACTTTTCCATTTTGAACTTTTAATAAATGGAAATGTTTCTTGATATTAACTTTGATGGAGTAAATATTTTAATTTTTTTTCTTGGGTCATAAAAATTACTCATCCCTAATGTAGGACAAGTGAGTATCAACACCAGATCTGTTGTCAGTCAGTGTATGGCTCTTTAGCGTTGAACATAATTAGGGGTGTCAACCTTGGCTGGTCCCTGGTCTAACTGGGCTCAGTCTAAGGTGAAAAAGTCCTTTCAAAGCTTGAGTTCTGCCTGTCTAAAAGCTGACCCCGTCTTCCCAAACTCGGTTCATACTTTTGCATTGACTTCAGGCCAAGTTTGGGCTGGCCTGGACAGACTGTTTGAGCTTAATTAGAAGCCAAATAAAGCCGTCCTTTAGCCCACTCACAAAGCGTAGGTCCAGATACTGGTTCTTGTCCTCTACAATATCATTCCCAGAGAGATGCAATTCACATTAATTAGATAGATAAACTAAACTCATATTCATGAATGAAATAAAAACGAAGATAAAAAAGGCAATCTCAAATTAGAAATTTAGTTCCCAGTACTCAAAGTACATAAAGAGATCTTTAACTATTAATCGAGTGTGCTCGAAGGGCGGGTTGGGTTAAAGATTATTCTTTTTCAGAAAATAGAACTTACATAATACATAAGGTTTCATGGAAGTGATTATCACCATGCTAACTTTAAAATAAACATAAAAAGGGATACTTTTATGCATGAAACTTGACTTTTGAAAGTCCCAAATGGGCTGCTTTGAAGTCAATCACTTCCCATGATTTCTTTCTTCTTTTAAATTTCCTTTTTCTTGTGTTTCTTATGGATTGTATCAACCCTCTTCCCATTCTTTTCAAAATTTATAGGAAAACATGTTTATAACAAATGCCTTTGTTTTTCTGGTCTGGTTGTTGTTTTTGGGCAGGCTGATGTTCTAGAATATTATGATCAAACTGTAAACTCTCCCAGTGGATCCTTCTACATCCCTGCTGTATTAAGGGTGAGCAATTAAGAGGCATTAATGTTTTATTAGATTTCTATCTTCTCCTTGGAATTCAATCATGCCTATACTTCTGTCCCTTCTCTTATTGCTCTTCCTTCTTCTTTGATTTATTTTGTTCCTGGCCTTTACTTGTTTCCTCAAACAATGAGTAGTCCTCAGACTATACGGTGTCTATTCTTCCAGGTTCCACATTTACTTCAGGTTGTCAAGAGAAGAACAATCAGAAACACCCTTAGTCGTAAAAATATATTTTTTCGGGACAGTTTCACTTGTCAGTAAGTTGACTGCTGATGCATGCTAAACATTTTGATTAATTTAGCTGTTATGATTTCATATAAATTAGAAATCAGTAATATATTGAATGTAATTTTGCGATTTGATTACGAAGTTTGTCCCTGTAACTTCTTTGGTTAAAAACTAGACTGGGAATAGGAAATAGCCTTTGTATTGACATTTCATTATCAATAATCCCTCAAAGTAGAAAAACCAATCCATGAGCTTAGCTTTGTGTTTTTTATTTTCACAGTAGAGTTTTTGTTTTGGAGTATTTCAGACGGTCTAGTATTTTAGGATGGGTTTTGAAATTCAGAGACACCACATCACTCTCTTCTATTACAAAGATATAGATAAGCATCCGCTGTAAGAGTGCATTGATGATGGGAAATTGCCTAGTTCTTTTCTGTCATGTCTATGCCTCCCAACTTTGCAGTTGGGATAGGTGCAATAGCGGGAAATTAAACAATCAATTATTTCAACTTGCTTCTATCTTTCAATGAATTCTGTTCGGCTGTGAGACTATTCACAGCTTCTTGACATTGGGTAATCTGGAACGCTTAAACTTGAGTTAGGGTCGGGTTGCTATATTTCCTTCGATTTGGCTCTTGATGAAGCTGTGTGGGTTATCATCAGATACCTTTTGATATACATGAAACATGTCGCTTTAATTGTGTGTATTCAAACTTGGGTGGTAGATTTTTGAAGCCCTTAGGTTCTTTTTATTTTATTTTTTTCTTTTTGTGTGCTGCCCAAGGCAAGAACAAGAAACTAGAAACACCAACAACCAGGAAAGAACAACTAAAAAGTAAGACCTAACAAGTTTTAGTTCCTGGCTACAGTATTTGCAACAAGGGGAGGCAAAACTTAAGGGTCAAGAGCTCCTAGAACTTTAAGGTAGATGCCCTAGCCTTTGAGCAGATCCAACCTCGAAATTGTTCTGAATCTTGTAGGAATGGACACTTAAAGAGAGTTGATACTCCAGATGAAAGCTTTAAGGTCCCAAGGCTTAGCTGAAATAAAGGATATTGATGAGGTGACAGCTTGGAAATGTGCCTCAAAATTATATTATACCAAACATAATCAACTGGTGAGGTCACTGCCAATCTCATTAACTCTGCTGGATATACTTCTATGATTGGAAATATATCTGTCCATGCACCACAGACTTTAACAGAGTCCTTAGCTATGCACCAAGAAAATGTTTTTTTTCCCCACCCTACAGCCGCTTTAGATTATAAGATAAAAATTTTCCCCTCCCCCAAAAGGTTGCCAAGATGATGATAGGGAAGGATAGAGCTATGCTGTATGCTGGGGATAATGGGAGTCTGTTCTGGTGATCATGCCAGTCTTTGCTGGCTCTACTTGTGGAAGATTGCTCTGTTCCTAGCCATCCAATCTTATAGCATGGAATAGCCTGGAGCAAAGCAAAATTTGTGCAATCAGAATGATTCTCCCATTAGAATCCGAGGATAGATTATGCTTTGTACTCAGTCCAGTAGAGAAAAAGAAGGTTCAAATTCTTCCATGTGATTTCCCATTTACCAAATCTTGGCATCTTAAGAATATGGCAAAGAAATAATAGATGCAAGGTAGATTTTGGGTGATATCCAAGGACTTGAGATTCTGCAATTTCGACTTTGCTATGCAACACCTCTCATTGGAATAGCTTGAGAGAAGATTCTCCACAGCATCATTCTCTGCATCTCGCGTGTTTCAAATTCCATGTTCTTTCTCAAGGCTTTAAGGTCTTCCACACATGAGAAAGTCTAGCATGCTGATTAAGAAGATATGCAGATTCGATGCAAAAGTTTTCATTATTGGAACCAATTTATGAGTTCATCTGATTGAAAGACACTGGAATAGGAATATTCAAGATTTTGTTCAATGTTTTTCAGAGACTAAATTGCTTAGGAGACCTTGATTCCATTTGTGGGGTTGGGGGAGCCCGGGGATGGGTAGCGGGTGTGGGGGACCAATTATAGTTTCCTGTACTAGAGTTGGAAAGTCTCTGTCAACTTCTTGAGGAATTGCTTTGTGGTCAGCAGCCACGGAATCCAGGGTCTGTCCTCATGTTAATAAATTCGCCATTGCCATTATGGATGAAAATCTTAGCCTCTAAAATGCCTTCCGAGAGCACTTATGAGGGTTTAGAAATTTTGGTATGTCACAGGATTTTCTCTTGACTAAGGCGGCCATATATATATATTTTCTTTTTTGAAACTACTAGCCAAGCAGTTTAGCTATTGAGGCTTTATTGATGTCCTTGAATCTGCGAAAGCCAGGATGACGGTAGGCTTTGCCAAGGGAGCTTCAAGCTATATAGTAGGTAGACTCCTGTTTTCGTCATAAGAAATCCCAACCAAAATTTCATAACAGAATTTGTCTGAGCACCAGGATTTAGGGACTAACAACCAAAAAAGCTTGCATCACATAGGTAGAAATTAAAGCTAATATTGACCTGGAACAAATTGCTTCTCCCAGCATATGAAATAACTTTACATTTCAACCACTGAATTTATTGCTAATTTTCTCTCAAGTTTGTATGAAGTGAGTGTTAATCATTCTTTCCCATGCAACACAGAACGAAGGTGAGAACAAGATCCAGGGCTTATGATGCACCCAGGGGCATGGCCAGGCCTCTCATGTAGCTCATTCCATCGGAGGTCAGACCGTGAACGGCCCCAATCGGGTGTCAAGCAAGGGGTAATACCCACAATCAAAGAGTTGGGGGAATGGGAGGGGGCTGATACTGGAGGTGTGTAATTGGTTAAAAGTGACTGAGAGTGTAATGATATAGTATTAAATCTAGTAGGACAATTGGTCTAGCTACCAACAGAATCACGAAGTGCACGGATTTTATTTTGTTGACATATAAAATGTGTAACTATCATGCCCCTAAATCTGAAGCATGCAACACGGCCTACGTGATTGGTAGAAGAGAGGTTAGGATGCTAATATTTTATTCTTGAGGGGGATTGAAGTAATGACATTCTTGTGAAAAGTGTAAAAAAATAAAAATGGAAAAGGAAGTATGGAAAAACAAATCATATTAAAATGGGTATGAGAAATTCAGAGCCTCTATAAGCTATGCTGCATCATCAAAGATAGATTTTGTGCACCCTAGACCAACTTGCATTCTTTCGTTTTTTTGTAAAGCTCATACACTACTACTTTTTTTTTTTTTGATAAGTAATAATTCCATCAGAAGAAACACACCTACGGAATTCCCCCCCCCCATTTGGTGAATTGGATCTTATTGCACTAGTTGAGAGGATCCTTATATTATTGGTGAAGTGATTATTCTGGTAGAATAATTTTTTTTGGGGATTATTTTACGTTTCTGTGATTTGAGGTAGTATATTAATGTATTATTCTCTAGTCAGCTGCTCCCTGCTGGTGAGTTGGAGGTGAAATTGTGAGTGTACCTGTGAGGATCTTGTGATTTTTTGTTGTTGCTATTTTTCATTGTAGAGATCCTCGTTTCAATAAGATTTCATTTACAATACAGAAACAGTTGGCCACTATGCTAGATCATAGTTTTTCATATTTGTATTCTCTATTATATTTAGAACTTGTGTACAACATTATTTCTTCTGTTAACAGGTATTGTTCTTCACGTGAGAACTTGACCATTGACCATGTTCTGCCAGTTGCACGTGGTGGACAATGGACGTGGGAAAATCTGGTAAGATAACTGAGAAGGGCAAAAATCTAACCTTTTATATGTCCTTTTATGGTTCTTGATTTTTTCGATTGTAGTGGGTTTCTTCTTTAAGTTATCAAAATATATGCTCAACTCAACAAGGCCTTTTTCCCTCCTCTTTGGGACAGCTATACGAATCCTGTTTCACCATTCCACTCCAAGGCACTTACAATAATATATATATATATATATATATATATATATATATATATATATTATGGAGGGTTTCCTGGAAATTCTCATGAATATATTTTATAAATTAAGTAGTATAACATGCGAAGCAGGGCTCCTCTAGAGAAGAGAATTTCCTTTTATTATATTTTTACATGTTTATTATTATTATTATACTCCATTTGAAGAATCTGTATTGATATTGTGCTTCTTTTCTCTAACAGGTCACTGCCTGTGCCAAATGCAACTCTAAAAAAGGTCAAAAAACTTTAGAGGAATCAAATTTTAAACTTATTAAGGTCCCCAAGGTATCTTCTAGTTCCCTTTGCAAAAGATTACCTGCAAGATAGTAAACTACTTTTAGATTTTATTTTTTTGCTATGGGTTCATTTAGCCTTACAATGAAAAATAAATTTAAAAAAACTGTCCTGCAAGTTTGTTTACCAATAGTTATAGCTATGCTGATGCATGTTTTTTCCCCAGAGGGAATGGAAAGTATATTTCAAGATAACCAATGAAAGAAGCTGAACCTTCAAATTACACGGTTCAAATAAACTTGCTCAACGAGTTCAGTCAATTGAACATCACTTTTCTTCTGAGGAGTTATATATAGAATGCCAACTTTTTATTTATTCTTTGCTCGCTTGTAATATGACTACTATGGATGTTGTAGGCTCCTAAGGACTATGACATACTAGCCATACCCTTGACAACCACAGCTATAAAGATGCTGAAAATGAGAAATGGGACACCAGAAGAGTGGCGCCAGTACTTATCAAAGCCATCGTCGGAGCCATGACTGCAATCTGTGGCAGCAGTTTGTATATTCCTGTTATATTCTTCTTTTTGACGTCTCACTGTAAGGGCCTAAAAACTTGTTAGATACTCCACTGCCAATGTAAGGGTCAAACTTGTCTAACTTTTCTAAACAATTCTCCCATGTTGATAATATTCATGTATAGTGATCGCTAGTATTATGCTGTATTTTCTGCTGTAGGCTTTACTTTGTCATCTTTTAGGCCCAAATACTTGTATAAACTGAAAGTAATTAATTGATAATTGGATTTCATATAAATTCACCTGTACCATTATTGGAAAGATCAGCTTGTTCTCCCAGTTTGCTTCGTAAAGGACCAACACTTGTAGGCTTGGCCTGGCGCTTAAGGTACTAGACAAAATCTTTACATGAGAACCACTTGGAGTAGGTCTTTATCTAGGATCATAGATCTTTATGTATTTTCTCACTTTCTTAGCCACATTGTTTTGCCTCCTATTATCATTCTAACATCTTCAATTTGAATTAAGTCTTCCTCCTTATAGTGCATTCATTTGGCTTTAATGCACAAGGCTTTCCTTCCCTCATTTCAGTGGGCATCATCCCCAGCTTGCAACGAGTTCTTCAATTTCCTAAAAGCTATTATCCAGTACTGTTGCTGTCTATGCAGGGCTCTGAAGGGTAGGATAGATACGAGCCTTTTCAGTTTTGGCCAAAAGCAGCTGCTCTAAGACTTGAAACTCTCAGACAGACCGAGTATTTTACCATTGCACCGGCAATAGCACCTAGGACATTCATTTCATAATATTTATCCACCCATTTTGTCTTAGCATTTTCATTTTGGCTAAAATTATTTTTTAAACATATTATTCCTCGACTCCTAACATTTGGGACTGTTTTCAGGAAACATCCTTATTTAGCATCAATCCAGCATAAATTTTAAACATTCTCACTTGCAGTTATCTGTTGATATCTACTTTCGTCATCCCTGTTGATAACGTTTCACTAAGTTTCAATTAATGGGGGTAAATATGAGCTCTGAAGTGACCTGTGGCCAACATTGGTGTTGGGAGAATGAATCTGATTTCAGATTCTGGTAACTCTAAACAATAAGAAAAAGCATCAGCTTGTGCATCTTATTTTTCTTCTCTCAATCCTAATATGATTTTATCAAGCTCGCGACTCACCTCAGTCTTGAATCTTGGGGTTCTCCTACATCATGTTCTCTGTTACAGTCTGTAGGTCAATTTTTTTCATTGAACATAGATCATTAGTTTATTTTCCTTCTCATTAGCTAGTGGTGCAATTTAACCTAGCACTGATGCTAGACAAAATATGTGGGCTGATTATAATTGTTTGACATTGTCATTTAATTTTTTGTATTTTTTGTTTTTTAGAGTCTAAATTTGTATTTTCCTACTAGTATATTACTAGCAAAGGGGAGTAAAAAGTTCTGTTAAGAAAATTTTCTTTTACCTCGCGGATGACTTCACCAATTGAGCCAATTCGGTTCAATTCTATTTGTGGATCATGCAATTTTGGTTGAGCAATACCAGAGAGGTGGTTTGGTGGTGGGTTGGGATTTTTTCTAGGGTTGATGCCAAAGTGAACTAAAATGATCCAGTATGAAAATGATCAACTTGCAGCAGCAGCAGCATTTGACCTATGTGTCAGTATACATAGACAAATTCAAACAGAATCCAATGCTACCCATGTTCCCTGTTTTGAATTATTTTTGGAGGGTTTTGGTGATAGCCTTATAGGTGCTGACTTTATTACCTATGGATGGACAGAATCATAACACCCAATAGAAAATTTCCTTCTCATTATTGTTAATGATATCAGCTCCTACTTTAATAATAGCAGCTGAATAAGTCTGTTTGTCCCTTCTTTCATTTCCTCTCTCAATGATTTAATGTGCTTAGGACTTGCAAATGAATGAACCAAAGTTACTTCATCATGCTCTATATATCATTTCTGCCAAGAAAAAAGTATCTTCAAAACTGTTCAGTGCTTCATTTTTGTGTTTAAATGGTGAAAGTAGATGATTACTCGAATTTAAATTGATGGGTTCTTTACAGCCAGCTGAAAATGGGGAGGTGAAGATGCTCGTCTCAAGAAGGGGTAATTGTGATGTCTCACATCGCCTGGGAAGAAATTCTTGATATTTTATACGCGTGAACACCCCCTTAATCTTGTAGACGCATTTTAAAAATCGTGAACATAAGAAATAAGCAAAGCAGAATTTGGAGACCCATCTTAGAAAAATTTACTGGACAGCCTGAACCAGAATTTGGAGCCCATTTTAGAAAAATTGACCGACAGTTGATACCTTCTTAACTGAGACCATAAAAATAGTTGGTGGGTTAATCTCTCTCTCTTTTTTCGTTTTTTTCTTCAGCATGGGCTATCCTTATTGAGTCCTATATTTCTCGCATTCCAAAGTTTCTTGTACCCTTCATCATCAACAGATTTTTCTTGTTTAAAAAAGTTCAAAATTTGGCACCATGCAATGCATGCAGTACATTGGAGACTTATAATTGTTTTTGCATATATATATATATATAAAGACTATTCTTTTTACTCCCTTTCTCTTTTGGGCATGGTGTGTACACAGCTGAGACAAAGTTTGTAACAGGTACTAAGAATAAAAGAAAAATGGTATTTTGAAATTAGTTTTAGAGGCTCACAGAGAGTCACACACACTACACCAAGAGTGCACTACCAGACCATCATTATTCTCCTTTTGTTACATAGGCAGAGCCACATCTGACATCACTGAGTCGGTGGGCCTGGTTACCGGCAATTACTCCCACATTCAAAAGCTCCCTCCCACTTTTACCCTAGAAAGATAATCTCTCTCTCTCATACACAGTCACACACACTGCACTCTTTTTGACGTGAGAAACAATGACTTGGGTAAACAACGTTCATTTTTGCTGAAACCAAGAAAAGGTGTGATATATATTTAATATAGAAATGTGTATAAAAAAGGGTTGTGGTAAACAGGTGGAGTACATACAAACCAATAGATTGAGACTTGAGAGTTGAGAGAGAGAGAGATGGGCATTGTGGGGTTTTTCTTTGATTGACGAAATTAATTGATTTTTGTTTTTTAGCTTTCTCTGCCGACAGAAGACGAGGCCATAATAGAGCTTATATAGCAGAGCTCTCTCTCCTCTCCCTAAATTTGGTGGTTGTTTGCAAGTGGGAGTCTTTCTTTACTTTGTTAAGAGGCCTTAAGGTATGGACTTTTGCCGGAATGTGTCAGTTTCTGGCGGCCTGCCGTCCAAATACCCGCCGGAGCAGGTGCTCTCTCCCTCATGCTCTGAGCTTGGCAGTCTTGATGACCTCCTCTCTGGTCACAATACGGTGAGTCTGTTTCTTGTGACTTTTTTGAGTTTTCATGGAAAATGGTCTCTCTTGTATCACTTCTTGAAGAGTTTGTACTTCTCTCTCTTGAAAAATTTAGCAGATGTATGTGGTGGCACTTACTCTTTGTGCGTGTATGAGTGTGTGTACTATTTTAAGCTCTTTCTTTTACTTGTTTCCCAATTCAGGATTTTGCTTTTCTGTTCTTTCTTGTACAAGTTTCTGGTTTATTCACTGCTTTTTTAACAACCCTTTTGGACTTACCTTACATTTCTAACAAAATAAATTAAATTTTAGAAGTTTCCACCAACTAATACCTTTAATTTTGTTTGTGTGTTTGGGGAACTGAAAATGAATGCAGGAAGGGGATGTTAGCTTAGAATGGCTGTCAATATTTATGGAAGATTGTTTATCCAGCAGTGGAAATTGCCTCCCTCCAACAGTGCCACACACAAATCTTCAAAATACTACTACTACTACAACAACCCTAAAACCCTCACAACACTTGGAGTTGGATAAAATGGTACCACCCCTAACAAACACATCCTCCATGCAAAAGTTTGTGATTCCAGGCAAGGCCAGAAGCAAAAGAAAGAGAGGAGGCCCAGCACCCAAAACAACCCCATTGACCAGCTGGTCTCAACATCTTAACCACCCAAAAGACCAAACTACCCCTCGAATGACTACCAGCTCACACCCTCTTTTGCTCCAACAAGCCTATTGGTTAGCCGACAGTGAACTCATTTTGCCCAAAAATGAAGATAGCAGCTCAAAAGAGGAGGAGGAGGAGGTGGTGGTGCCACAGGAACAGGAGGAGATGGTTGTGGTGGTGGGTAAGGGCAGCAGCTTGGAGGGCAGCATTGGGCAGGGGCAGGGGCAGGGGCAGCAGCCAAGAAGGTGCACCCACTGTCTGGCACAGAGGACCCCACAGTGGAGGGCAGGACCACTGGGTCCAAAGACACTGTGCAATGCATGTGGTGTTAGGTACAAGTCGGGCAGGTTGCTGCCCGAGTACAGGCCAGCCAAGAGCCCTACTTTTGTGAGCTACAAGCACTCAAATTCTCATAAGAAAGTCATGGAAATGAGAATGTCTCAGCAGTAGTAGTGATTTCGAATGAATGCCTCCTCCCTCATAAGAAAAATGAAATTGGAGGAGGATTTTAAGTAAGCTTTAGCTTTTAATGTAGTACTACTTTTAGACCCCTTATTTGTTCAGGTTTAGTGATACTAGTATATATACCTAAATTTTCCTGCACCTTTTATATGTAGCCTTTAATGAAAATTAATACCTATTATTATTTTTTTAACTATATATTGAGAAAATATTTTGTAGACATTTTTTTTTTCCTTTACCACATTATTGTGCGACTCTAAACATTTCGTTTGATGGGTTAAAATGATAAAAATATCGTTTATTAGAGTTTTGTGAGCCCTAAGAGCTGAGGGCACGAATCATGCTGTGTCGTAAATTCAAAAAGCGGAGTGTTTGAGATAAGGAGAACAATATTTGAACTCTACTTTCATGCTTTTGCAATTCGAAAAAAAAAGAAGTATATATATATATATATATATATATAAAACTTTTAGAGGACAGCTATATCTATCATTTCTCTCGCGCGCGTGTATAAGGAGGGAAAATCGCTGATTGCTGATTGTTTCCTGTGCGGTGATTTTAGTGACCACATGTAGATAAAACAACATTCTCTCTTGTATCTCCACCTCCCAAACATGCTGCTGTGAATTTGACATTATTAACCATTTCTTTTATTTGGGGAATTTTTTATTTTGTGTTGCAGTTAGGGTTAGGTATGCTTACGGTGGATGGTGGATTTTCATAATTTAATTTGGTTTGATTGTCTAAAACTTTCTATTCTTCTTTTGATTAAACTACTGCACATTACATATGCTATAAAATTATATTTTTCTTTATTAACAATTATTAAGGATAAGGATATTTCTTTGTACAAAATTTTTGACAGAAATTTTTTTTTTTTTTTGTTTCATAATTACTAAATCATTCCATATTCATATTGTAAAAAATAATAATAATAAAATTTTGACTACAACTTGTTACTTTAATTAAAAAAAATATATAAAAGTGTGTCCTTTTAAGAATTTTACCTTCTTATTATAAGGTTTTTTATTTTATTTAAAACGGCCAACTGAACACCAAATGATGCCGCGAGTTATCACAGGTCAGGGATAGTGGCCAATCCTTCCCTCGTGTCGGGACTTGTGTTATTGTTGTTACATTTTTAGATATGGGGTCGTTAGTACGCGAGCGTTAGGGACAGAAAATAGATTAGAATAGAGAAAGATAGTTCTGGCCTATTAGATGGAGAGGCACGCAATGCGCTGTCCTAATATTATAAACAAATAATAATATTAGTTGTTTTTAATTTTAGATTAAAATAAAAATCTCTTATATTACTTCGTGCATATCAAAAAGCAACTGAACGGGATTGAATATGTGTATATGTGTATGTGTGTATATATATATATATATATATATGGGAGAAATGATAGATATAGCCGTCCTCTAAAAGTGTTCTCTCCCCGTTGTACAATTCTTGCAAAAAATAGTCATATATTGTACTCTACTTTTACTTTTAAGAAAAAAAATCTGTGTTTTTTTTTTTTTTTAAGTTGGGCCTATAAATAATTGGGTATTTTGATTGAATTATGGGTTCCCATTCTGGAGGCATGGCACGTGGCTGTTGTTATCTTCTCGTGAAGATAGAGAGACCAGTTTTAAGATTCTCTGCCATTTCTTCTTTTCCACATGATAGTAGTATCGTCCTTTTCATAATTTCGTCTCTTTTTATTTGTTTATTAGAAGTTTGATTTATACCTAAAATGTCCTCTCACATAATAACAACTCTCATCTTACCATTAGATTTTCTCCTACTTAAATTTCAACCAATATTGATTAATAAATGAGCTTGAAATTTAGTTACATTATATTCTCAAGTTTATCCCTATTAACTACCACAATAAGCACAAGATTGTGTGTGTTTTGATCGTTGCTATTCAGTGGTGATGGAAATAAAAATGAGCATATTAACTATTGTATGTTTTTTAATTACGGTCACTTTTCTTTTTTTTTTCATCCTTCTGCATGTAAATTGTAAAAAATTATTAGTTGAGATTGAATTTTTTCTTTTTTGTAATATATTAATACATTATTATGAAACCATTTTCTTAGTAAAAAATCTAAATTAAATTAGTTCACTAAATATCTATAATTTAAGACCATCTAATTGTTGTGAAAATTGCATGTCACAACAATTAGAATTTTTCCTTTTGATATTCTAAATTGATTCTTCCTTGCCGCCATCAATAAATCATATACGGAGTACTTCATAAACAAGGGAGGAATTTTGTTGTTACTTTGTGAGCAAATAAATAAACAATCTTTTAATCTTTTAAAGTAGCCTTTCTTAAAAAGAAATAATCTTTTAAAATCTTGATTTACATAAAACAAATAAAAATAAATGAGAGATTGCCTTCCAATAAACATAAATATTATTGTGTAAAATTGTCTGATTGCATGAAATTATAATTTTAGAATTAGAACTTGTGGAATTGGAAAATAGCATCCGCTCTTAAATTTCATTACTTTTAATTTAAAATTTTTAATTTCATCCAATTAAACATGGACTAACTTTATTTAACATTTAAAAAATACTTTGGATCAAATATGCGTCATTTTATTCCTTCTTTGGCTCTTTCAATTTCCCTCGAAATGTCAACCTTTAGAATTTAAATTCATCAAAATTCAAAGAGATACAGAGAATCGACTTTTGAGGCAGGTTGGTGGTTGTTATTAAAGTGTTTAGAATATACTACTTGATAAAACTTGGTGATGGGTCCCTCCTTAAATATACTCGTAATGCACAAAGTTGAAATTGGGGTCCATAAACTTCAACATTTCCCTCCAAAACGTAATTTTGACTGCTCCAAGTATATAAAATAAATCAGGTCTGCCGACACATCTTGCACGAGTTTAAGTCTTCCTCAATTTTAATTTTTTTTGGGAAAGTATAACTTTGATGGTTAGAGAGCGTGAAAATTAACATATTATGATTCAAATGGTGTATATTTTTATAAGGGTAAATTACAATGACCTCCCCTGATGTTTGGATTATATACAAGTAGATCTGAGGTTTGCCATTTTGTTGCAAAGATCCCCCAATGTCAGATTTTGCAGTAAATTTACTTATCTACCCTTATTATTATATTATTAAAAATTTAAAATATTTAGAAATGACAAATCACCATTTTGCCCACTCTCTATCCCCTTATCTCAGACCGCTTCCGCTGCTCAAATTCTCGTCGACGCTGATGATTGTGCGATGAATGGGATAGACGGAATCGGTGGTGAACTGCGGCCGTGAGCTTGCGGATTGGAAGAAGCTCGGCTATGAGCTTGAGGATTGGGAGAAGCTCGGCTGTGGAGAGAAGTGTGATATGGTCGGCGAACCTGGCGGGTGGTGCAGTGGCGGTGACGGACCGGCGAGGATGAAGATGGGCTCGGCTGCGTCGGCTCAGATGTTTCGGCTGTAATTGATGGCGGGCGGTGGTAAAAAATCCACGACGAGCAAGGATCTAGGCACGGTGATGGCTGCCGTGACTGGTTCGGAAGCTCAGCGGCGGTGACGGACTACCCTTCAACCACCACTTACCATCGCCACCTCCAACACGCCGACCCGTTTTTACCACCAACCACCATCGCCGCCACCACCGAATCTGAGACCCATGTCACTGCCACCCCCACCACTTTTTCCATCCGATCTTAATCGAACCAATGAATAATACAATCAAACCACGATTAAACCCAATTTGCCGGAATCGCGACTGATTCATAGTCTCGTCGCCAGAATTGCGACGGATTCGCAGTCCTCACCGCTGTTTTATTCCCGCTGCTAGTCGCCATCGCATACCACACCGCCTTCTCCCATCCAGACTCGGTCTCCGAGGCCGCCGCCTCCCGCGTCTGCAACAACTGCAGATTAAAAAAAACCCAGAAAGTAACAGTGAATAAAATAAAATTAAAAATAAAATTTTAGAAATATATATAGACAGAGAGAATCATGAATCTATATATCTATCTGACTTTGGGATTTAAGAACAAACAGAACTCCGGCGTCGAGCTCTTTGGTAGAGCTAACGGCACCATTTTCTTTATTTCTCGGGAACAGTACATCTTCAGAGTTGGGAGCAAGAGTAGTTTCCATCCCCATATGTGTGTGTGAGAGAGAGAGACAGAGAGACAGAGAGAGGTTTATGAACAATAACAGATCTATTTCTGGGTTTAAGGAAAATACGAAAGTGGTGAAGGTGGGCTGGAGAGAGACGATGGTGAGTCGGTTTAAGGGTAGTTTGGTCCATTTAACATGAATTTTATTTTCATTTGTTTATATTACCAGTGTAATAGCATCTTTTTACGTTGTTGGTGGGTATTTTAGTCCCTTCAAACAATTTTTTTGATAAAAAATATTATTTATTGTACAAAAGGGAGGTCATTGCAAAATAGTGAAAATTTCAGAGAGTTATATTGCAACAAAATGACAAATCTCAGGTTTAGTTGCAATTAATTCAAACCTCAAGAGAGATCATTGTAATTTGCCCTTTTTATAAACATGATAATACATACGAAGTATACAATTAAATTTGTATTGTAAATGTTTTTTTATTTATTTTAATAAAATAAAAAATAAAAATAATATAAGAATAAAATAAAAAAATAATTTTGTAAAACATTAGACAAAAAATAAACCGTGGTTGATACGTATAAAATATATTTTATAATACATTATTCGCACTTGCACAGATTATTATTGTACTACAAAAAATACAGTTGTGACACAATTTTTGTCATATCAACATTTTTAAATAACCACGTAGGATTTTGATCATCAAAGTGCGCCACAGTTGTGTGCTTTTGCTTCAATAATAATAATATTTAATTTTTGGAGCCTATAGAATTGCAGTTTGTGTAGAAAAAAAATTGAATTTCTACTTTCTTTTTTTTTTTACTCCTAGTGGGTCCACAATGATGTGACGGTACTATTTTTGTATGTTGAATGTAAGAAGGTTAAATTGTTAATATTAAAAAAAATAATACATTGATTTTTTAAATGAGACACTTATTTTGAGACGATTAAAAATATAAAAGTTTAATACTTTTTTCTGAGACGAAGAGAGTATTTTTCTGGGCCCCGCAAGAACACGCAGGCCTACTCGCCAATAACCGTGATCTATTTCGCAATGGACACAAGTCTAGATTGGAGCGAGTTGGATTGCAGAAAAATGAAGTTAGGCTCGCGAAAACCTATTTTAGCGAGTCCAATGGAACCGTTCTAAGCAAAGTGTAGAAAATTAAAAGAGCACACAAAAATAAATTCTAAAATATTTGGGCACAAATTTCCATGCTCAAAGTAATAATAATAAAAAATTATACCTAATTGACAAATTTATAAGAGCTCTGGAAATTTCCTTTTACCTTTAAAGCTTGAAATTAGGGGTGACAATATTTGACACGAGACGCTAACATGATTCGAATATAACACGAAATAAGTGAGTTTTATATTTTGCTTAGTGGTGTTCGTGTTGTAATTGAGTCAACCCAAATTAACAAGAAAATTAAATATGTCGTGTTCATGTATAACCTGTCAATCCGTTTATAACCCGTTTAATTAAACGTGTCACAAACATGTCGTGTTTGTATTAAAAAAAACCCGTACGTTTAGCTTAACATGTTGAATAAAAGTGTCGTGTTCGTATCTGAATCGTGTTGTTTTATGCCATGCCAAGTCTTGGCCTATTTATTAAACGAGTTATGCGTGTCATATTACTCGTGTAATAATTTCTTGATACGAATAATAATCATATCGTGTTCCTATTAACCCATATAACATAATACACATCCTTTGAAACAACACGAACACGATAAACCAACTAGGACCGGCTTGAGCGTTAGGCGACTTAAGCGGTCACCGGCTAAGGCCCGAGCCAATAAAAAGGCCCCAAAAAATTAAAATTTTCTTAAATTAAGTTATACTGTAATTATTTCCTAATATTATTAAATACAAAAATTTTATATTAGGCCCCAAAGATTTATATCCTAAAATAATTTATTTTTTTTCTTTTTTCTTTCTCCCCCCTTGTTCTGATTTTATATTAGTTCTCAAATATCATATCCTAAAATAATTATTTTTTTCTCTTTTCGCTTTTCTCTTTCCTCTCTTATTCCGATTTTATATTAGGCCTCAAATATTTATATCTTAAAATAACTTCTTCTTTTTCTTTTTTTTTTTCCTTTTCTCTCTCCTTCTTCATTTTGTTGAACTCTAACTTATAATCTAAATTTAATATTGGGCCTCAAAGATTTACATCCTTATATAATTTTTTTCTTCTTTTTTACTGGTTATTCACGTTAACCAATATATAAATTTAATATTAACCAATATATAAATTTAATATTGGGCCCAAAATTTCCCCTTCTTTCTCTCTTTTATTCACGTTTTTACACTAGTACTAAAATATTAAATATGTATTTAACGTGTGTTCTTTGGAGAAGTGGCGAAAACTTTCTATATTCTTTTTTCAACAAGTTTTCTCCTCTCCTCTCATTACAAGTGGCAAAAACTTTCTATATTCTTTTTTTCAACCAGTTCTCATCTCTTCTCGTTACAAGTTTACAATTGTTTTTCTTCTCCACTATATACTCATTATATAATCTCAATATGAATACACTTTTATTGTATTGAAAATTTTATAAGAGTATTGAATTTGAGTTTTCTATATCAGGTTCTATGGGTTTTTTTTTATTTAATTATTTTTTAATTTTATTAAAGTTTGTTATTATAAATTTGTGTATATATATTTTATATATTTGTATATTTTGTTTGTGAATTGTTATTATTTTTATTTATATTATTGACAAGGGTATTTATTATTATTTTTTTGCTTAAATCCCAAATTAATTAGGGCAGTCAACACAACTTGCCACCCCTGTTCAAACTTCTGAACCAGGAAACTTATAAAGCTGGATTAAGATTCATGTCAATTTCTTTAGGAGAAAATGAAAAACTCACATGAGAATTTGTAATCCATGTTAATGCATAACTGCAACATTAAGTGGTATGACAATGATAGTTGAACACTTTAATGAGGTCATATTATTGTGGGATGAGATCCATCACAAAAGTATTGGAGCATATCATATGGCTTCGGTGTGCTGTTGGGTCCGTGGGTGCATACATCTATAATTGTTCTGTCTGCTTAGTGATAAAGGGTCCCACCAGACTCTTTCATCCAACTTTAATTTGAAAGTTGGAAACACATTCCCATTCACACATACGTCTAAAGTCCCATCACAAATTCTCCATTTACCACCATCCTTGTTTATTTTCAATGTCATACATTGAAAGAAGTTTTCCATCCAACTATGAAATACACGGATATAATATAATACGAATATAATAATATAATAAATTTTTAAAAAATAGAATACGAACTTATAAAATAATTATAATATATATATATATATATATAATTATATATTTAAAATATAATTACTAGAACCTTGTAAACTTATTTTCTTAATAACAAACAGATATATATAAATACAAAATTACAAATAAAACAACAACAAATAATATGACCAATTTCAATAATTTCTTCTTTTTTATAAGAAAAAACATAGACAAGACAAAACAAAAATAAATGAAAAATAAAGTTTATCCAAATTCCAAACGAAAATGTGCAGAAGAGATATAGTTATAATGGGCTAAATATGTACACAAATAAACATATATACTTTCAGTTTTTCACAAAGTCTTGTTTACATAACTTTAAAAAAATAAAAATAAATGTCTTATTCATGTACTGAGATAATTGAATAAGAGGAGAGACTGAGAGAGGAAGTGATAGAGAATAAATTTACTCTGTAGTACTTTGTTGTCTGTAGTTGTTTTTTTATTTTTTCAAAATTTTACTTTTAAACTTCTAAAATTAGAAAATTACATTAGGTACCTTATTTATCTTTAAAAAAAAATTACAAAATATACCCTGCCGTGTCCCCCGCATGTCCGAGCAGTGTCCATCCCGTAACCAAGCTGTATCCAATAAAAAATAATTTCTGGACACTTCACAGAAGTGACAGACACGTGTCCATGTTCGAAAAGTGTCCGACACTGGTACAGGACCCTGGGAGAAGTGTCCGTGCTTCATAGCAATCTAGTAATTAAGGAATGTCGTTAACTATGATATGCTTCTTTGTCATTATTTCTATATGTATTGTTATAATTAAGGGTTAAAATTACAGAAACCCTTTGCATTTTAAAAATTATATAAAATTTTAAAAAAATTTCAACAAAAAAAAATTATCAAGTTGTCTCCTATATCAGCGACCGCCTTGTTAACTTGTTTGCGAAATCACAAAATTGACCTTATTTAATGTTAAATTAAAATACTAAAATTTATTATTTTAAAATTACAAAAATAATAAAGGATCATTAAATAATGTTAAATTACAAAATTATAATTTAATGTTAAATTATAAAATTGACATTGCTGTTTTAAAATTACAAAATCATAAACTCTTTAATTTAATATTAAAAAGAAAGGTCAATTTTGTCATTTCACAACCAAGTTAACGAATCGTGTATGAGTGCAACTTGATAACTTTTTTTTTTAGTTTAAGGATTTTTATTTTATTTATTTATTTATTTTTAATTCCATGGAGGGTTTTATGCATAGATTGACTGGACAAAAATGGGCCAAAACCCAAACCCATGTTTGAATTTTTGAGAAACATTTGTGAGAACTTTGGTTGAAATGATGTTAGTCCAAATAAAATGATAAAAGTCTCGATCGATTTTAATAGCCGATGTCGAGATAAACTTTTTCCTTTTAGTTGCCCGAAATGTGAAGTAAAATATAATGGCATCAAAGTGAAGCGACATTGTAAAATGGTATAGTAGTCATTTTAAAGTTGAAATGCATCTGCAGATGGGCCTTGTCCAAATTTATGCAAACTAAAATTGGCCCATCTAATTGGGTAGATTGAGCCCAATCTGGAGCACACCAACTCATAATCCAGTTTTGTAGGTCATGACCAACTTGTTCAAGAACACCATACACTGTACTATTACTAGGAAGGCTGGGAATGGGATTTGCATACATATGGTCGGTATAGAATTGTATGAATTTATACAACACTCATTCAATGGCTTGAGTTCCTTCACATGCTTGTAGGGGAAAAATGTAAGCCAAAAAGGCATAATGTCAGAGCGAGAGCAGGAAAATCTATCACACACAGAACGGGAGTGGAAGCGGGAGCGAGAGTAAATTTGAAACCGGGAGCGCGAAAGCTGCAAAATCTAAGTCATATAGAGTGGGAACAAGAGCGAAAGTATGCGCGGAACGTGAGAGGGAACGAGAGCGAAAGCATGTGCGGAGCGTGAGAGAAAGAGCGGGAACGCGCTCGGTGAGAGGGAACGAGAGCGAAAGCATGTGCGGAGCGTGAGAGAGAGAGCGGGAACGCGCTCGGAGCGTGAAAGCGGCATCCAATGAGAAGAATTGTGTAACTCAGGTTCTAAGTCTAAGCTTGACTAACCAATATATATGTTTAGCAACTGATCAAGAAAATGCAAAATTGAAGTATAACACGGTCGGGAGCCCCAATTATCTACAGTATAGCACGAGTTTTGTATTGCATGAGACCACTCACAATGTAGTAGTATCGGAGACTCAAGGCCCCACCCAAGAAAGAGCCAATATTGTTCTCTCAAGAATAACAAAGCATAATTTAGGCCCCCTCCAAATCGTTCTATTATTAATTCTCTCCGACATTCAAAGAAAACAAATTTCAAAAAATACAGCAACCAAAAGTAAACCATTTTGATAGAATGGGAGCGCCATAAATTTGAGAGGAGGGATTATGATTCAGTGAGATTTTATTAAAAAACTATGTGAGGAAAAAATGACCCACAATATTCTCTCAACAAACAAGAAACTAAAATAAACATAAAAATTGTGACCTGAGGTATCTACAGAAAGAAGCTTAAAGCGACGGACAAAAGTGCCAAAGCCACCGGTGAGAGCCGTAGAGGAGAAGAAGAGGTGGAGAAAGCTGTCTGAATGGTAAAATTGCAATTCCCTTGTGATATGTTCTGTTCAGTCACCATGGCCAGACCTTCGAATTCACAACTCATGTCCTTTTGATTCTGGACTTGGAAGTACATGTTAAACGCATACGAAGCATTTCCATTAGCATCCAAGCTGTTGCAAGAAGATCCATAACCGAGTGCCGTGCAATCAGCAAATGTGCAAGCATAGTTGATATTGTCTGCAAGTTTACTCAAATCCTTGGCATTTGGATTAAATGTGCACCATTTCGTCGGAAGATATTCCACATTCTGTGCAGGAACAAGATACTTGTTGTTTTGAAGCTGACCTGAAAAATCAGTAGAGAAAGGGAATTTGGGTTGCCCATCATACCTAAAGATTCCCCAGTGGCGCTCAAAACTTCCAGGAGCAACGCTCTTGGCATCCTCATCAATAAGACCAAACAAGTAGACTTCTATGTATCCAGACCGAAGAGGGGTCCCTTTATTGGCTGCAAGTCTTGTCAAAAGCCCATTATAGAACCTAAAAGCAAAATTTGAATTGGCATTCTTGTCACCATCCGTTGGCCACCCCACCTCCCCTACTAAAATGGTCATGTCGCCAAACCCTGCTGCTTTCAAGGCCGAAACCAAGGTATCAAAGTTGGCATCAAAGACATTGGTGTATTGAATCCCATTATCCACAATGGGGTTGGGTGCCCCATCAAAAAAGGCATAGTCCAAAGGGAAGTTGTCATTGCCATAGAGACTTAGAAAAGGGTATATATTTACAGTAAAAGGGGCCTTGTTCTGGTTCAAAAACTGGACAATCTCAGTCATGAGTCCATTGATATCTGACCTGAACCTTCCAGCAGACGGGACAGGATTGTCTTCTGGAGAATTGTAGACATCAGCATTTAAGGGCACGGTTGCCTTTATGGAGTCCCCAAGTCCAGCATCATTGAGGGCATTTTGGATGTTCTGAAGGGCTGGGAAGGTGAGGTTCAAGAATGAGTTGTTGTAGGACTTGAGAAAAGGTTCATTCCCAACTGCTACATATCTGTGCAAAGACAAATTGAAAATAATAAGAACAACATAATTACGAGATAACACTAGCAAACTTATGCTAAATATAACCTGAATAGCACAAAGCAAGGAACAAATTATTGTTGAACAGTGAACTTAAATTCCTCAACCGGTTTGCTTCAGAATAAACCTAACTTTCAACATGTCTAACATGGCTCATACAGATTACGAGATACCACTGGCAAACTTATGCTAAATAAAACCCGAATAGCACAAAGCAAGGAACAAATTATTGTTGAACAGTGAACTTAAATTCCTCAACCGGTTTGCTTCAGAATAAACCTAACTTTCAACAAACAAGGCTCATACAGATTCTTTACTATCAGGATTGATAACTTACAGCACAAAATGGTAATTCTATGCTTGGAATGACTTTCCTTCCCATTAGTCTAGGTTAAAATCATTGTCAAGAAAGGCCTTAATTAACATGACTATCCAAGTTGTATTCTTCCACAGTAATCACGAAAACTTCTCTACGAAAAGAATTCACATTCTTAACTTAAGCAGAATACAGAACCAACTTCACCAATAATATAATTGTGGCCTACCCTCGGCACATTATAACAGACTTAGGATTTGAGCTCCAACCACAAGTTATAGATCATAGGGAAAGGAATCGCCAAACAGTAACCCCACAGCAAAAGAAAAGGAATGAAGGTAATTCCATCCTAAAATTCACCTTTCTCCCAATCCATATCACATCAGATACTAGATAAAAAAGGTTGCCCCTCCCTAACTAGGAATTTCTCTGAAGTGGAAGCCATCAACTCAACAATGACTGCAATTCCAATGTTGAGCACACCGAGCTCTGTTGGAGTAAAACAACCATGTAATACACAAAGTTTCAACACAACCATGTAATAAACAAAGTTTCAACACTCACTAGATTTCTTTTAATGCTTCATTCATCAGATTTAATGTTATAAAACATTTTCCAACCTAAATTGATGTAGTGAAATATTAAAAGAAAATAACTTAATAACTCCGTTTCATTGCTAAGCATATAAAAGAAAATAAAAAAAACTTTTGCAAGTATATATAGAAGAAAGAAGAGAACTCTCAATCCTTTAACAGGTTGGAGCCTCGGAGGCCTAGTTGCGGTTGTAAGATATACATTATCTCATAGTATCTCCTTACAAAGTCATGGAATTTAATAAGTGAATATTTGTAAGAAGGGCTAGAAGAGGTAATATCATGCACCTTAAAGTATCAAACAAAATAAAACGAATTTTATTTTAAAATGAAAATGAAACCTCAGATAATTAAAAGGGATCAATTGAGATGAAGCAGACTAAAAGACAACAAGCCCATTTTCTGAAATTCTTCGGAATGGCCCATATTTGAAGGCATGGCATTGAATGCACATTGGGAGGTATAAAGCACAGTTAAGTCAATCAATAAGCAACTCCCACCTCCTTACCCAGATCCATATATATTGCATTTATGTCAATATTAAATACCAAAAGTGACACAAAAGACTCGTCAAAGCCGTTGATGTCCGGTGGCATTAATTCAAAATTGATGCATATGCATAAAGATATAAAATTAGGATAATAACTATACTTTCTCTGATCTAAAGCAATGTAATTCTCTGAACTTCAAATGCACATAATCAATTTTTTTATGCAGGTATACAGCAGATAACAATTATTTATTTACAAACACCTTGATAATTCAATACGAAATTCTTACTTGATTGTAATTCTATACTGAGATAAAGAATTAGGAAGAAAACTAAAGAAGTGTAATTCTCTGAATTTCAAATGCACATTCTCAATTTTTATGCAGGTATACTAATATAACAAATAACAATTACTATTAATTACAAAGAGATTAAAAAAAATCAATATGAAAATCTATAATCGAAGGAGGAGAGAGTTTACTTGATTGTAACACCACCCTTGAAATTGTATCGTGTGACATTGCTCCGCACCCACTTCTTAGCTCGATCATAGTTGGTCATGGCAGCGAGCTGATCATTCGGAATAGCAACCATAACCTCAATACCACTTCCAGACAGAGCACTCATGGTGGACTCATCAGCATCAAACAGCTTCACCTTAGAAATCCCATTGTCTTTCAACATCTGAACCACAGTTTCAGGAGGTAACTTGTGGCTTGCCATAGTTCCCCAGTTCACACCAAGACCCTCAACAACAGACACAAACCCAAAAATCCCCAGAAACAATAAATTTGTGGAAAACCACATTTTTGACATGTTCTGATGAAACCCAACAAGAAAATCAAATCCCCAATGTAGTTTGCAAGAGAAAAATCAAATATTTCTATGATAGATCGGAAAAGATTTTCCAAGAAAATAATGGGCTTTTCTAGGAAAAAGAGATAGGGAATGGTTTATTCTTATTTTGGCTCAAGTATATGTATTTTCCAGCCAAAATATATATATATATATTTTAGGAAGGCAACGGTTTTTGAAGGTGGGTTTGGGGTATAAGCGAAAAACGAGCGACTTTTTCCCGAGAAAACAGAGATCGTGATGGAAAAAATATGTGAACTTACTGGGATGAAAATCCCAATAAATATAAGTATGTGTGTGTATATATATATATCCTGAAAGCGAATCTGTATATAAAGGGTGTATCAAAAGGTTTAAACTTTATACCTATAGACGGACGGAATCGACAAAAGTTAACGTTATTCTCTGTGAGAGAGAGAGAGAGGAGAATAAGCGGTACTGGTATAAGATTACAAGAGAACAAGATGATTCCCCAGAAAAGTAACCACAAAACAACAATTTCTCTAAACAAAACCAAATATAAAAGGATGTGAATAGAGAGATTCAGAAAAGAAAAAAAAAAGATGTCAATAGAGAGATTTAGAAAGATGGATTATGGAAAAAAGAGTCGGAATACTAGAAAGATTGGTTGAATTTGGTAACTAAATTGTGTTTCTATAATTTGAAGAAGAAAAAAACAAAACAGAAAAAGAAAGTTTGAAAGAAACTGGGTCTCACCGAAACGGTGAAATGTTACGATGATTAAGACAAAAGAAACTGGTTGTCACTGAATAATCTATTGAAAGATTTTAGAAACTGGGGGAGCGTAACGGCTATATCTGACAACTGAGTAAACAAGTTGTAAGTACTTTTGCCCAATAAATATACGATCAATGGGATTGGGATGTAATATTATATAAAAGTGTGTGGTATATCTACTGCAAGTAACTGACACCCCTCGTTTATCATCCGATGAGAAGGGTAGTAGTGTCATTTTGACCGACGTACTAGATATTATTATGGGTTTTGGCCGACATATTTATTTTATTTTATGTTTTTTGTCCTGGGTTTTGAGTTTTGACCGACATATCAGATTTTTTCCCGGTATGGGTTACTGCAGTTGGAAGCGAGTCATGAGTCACACGACTAACGAGCAGCGTGGTAGTCGGTGGCGGAAAGATTATATATACATCATATATATATATATATATATATAGAGAGAGAGAGAGACAGAGACAGAGAGAGAGAGCTTTTCATGTAACAATAACTCACAGAGCTAAAAGGACAAATTCCTTAAAAAAAAAAAAATTGAAATTATGGATGTCTCCTGTCAAAATAATAGAATCAAAGTTAGAAATTTTATAAAGGTATGTCACGGTTATCAAATTGTCTTTCCTCTTCTTTCACCTGTCTCTATTCAAAGTCAAGTGTTGAGATTCTTTTTGTGAAATCAATAACCACGTGAAAATTAATTTTCACTCTTAACATTTTATACATATAAACATTATGTGTTGTTTGAATTAGTATACATAATTGGTAAATATATGTATTTTTATAAAGACAAATAGAGAACTAGTTTCCTTACTAACTCAATCCTAATTACAGTACAAATAAATAGAAAAACATTTTTTCAATAATTAATTATTAAAAATATAATTTATAAATTAACTAAATAATATAATATTAGTCTTGATATTTATTTATATCATCAAAATATAGTATATAATATGTCTGAATTATGTGGGCCCACAAATAAAAAAAATATTTTACATATATATATATATATATATATATATTCTCCAACTAATTCCCATTCATTCCCTATTATGATGGTTAATACTTTCATACCCCCTGTTATGATGGTTGATACTTATGAGATGCCAAATTTGCTTTTGTGATTGTTATGACCGTTTTTGTGGGGCCTACCATGAGCTCCGGTCTCATAATGTTTCGCAACAAATTTCCTTTTTTTTTTTTTACTTTTTTTTTTTTTAGTTATTATTATTATTATTGAGAGCAACTCAAGCTGTGAAATACAAAAGTATTCTTCATGTGGCCTTCCTTCTTCCCAATGTTTGTGAACACATTTTCGAATACAGAATTTAACATCCAAAAATAATTGATGCCGTGTCCTTGAAAAAACGTAATAATGCAATAAGTCACCTCAAGCACTCAAAGACATCATCTCAAATGAGAAAAGGCCATTTTAGGGGCAGGTTCAAATTATAGGAGAGGGTAACAGCCAAAATTTTCCTACAAGCAACACGTGGAGCCTGATAGAGGAGGATAAAGTAATTATATCAACCTAATCTCCACAGCCCACCCACCAAGTCATATTCACTCTTTTACTTACTTATATGGACCATTGTCAAAGTTTGATTCTTGTTCTTGTGGTCCCACCTTGGACACTTGCAAAACAATACAAATTTATTACACTTTCTAATTAAGATTTTCTTTAAATATCAAGGGTAACTGATAAGCACACGGCGACAACCCCGGCATGATGGACTTGATGAGGTACGATGTTTTTTTTCTGGCCATCTTAAATATTTGTTATATGTTTCCTTGAGTTATGTTATGAGAATAGTGACATCTATATTGATAATTAATGTGAAACCTCAAAGGGATTTCACGTATTTGGGCATGAATATGACAATTGAGTGTGACACAAGCAACTTTGTCAAAGAAAGAGGTCCCTATCCAATTTTAGTGCTAATACCTGAGATGATAAATGAGCAAGTTGGATAAGATTTGGTTTAGGTTAAAGATAGGTGAGTTAAATATGAGGTAATACTTTATATTCAACTCTTTTAAAATTGATTGAAAATAGGCGGGTTAAAAATATATATGATCAACCCGTTATGACTCGTGAATTCGTTATTATTATTCTTTTCCAAAAAGTTTTAAGATTTTATTTAATAATAAATTAAAAAAAAAAAAAAGCAATCTCAAACTCATCGATATTTATCGACTCGTTTTAAAGAGACAAGTGAAGGAAAAAAAAAGAAATATTGATGTTTTAAAAATAAATTTTTTCATTTTGATGTTTACAAGCATGGAAAAAGAAAATGTAATTTACATATTTGAAAAAAAATTGACCCATGAAACCCGATCGACTTGCCCAAAATATTGATATTTAAAAAATAAAATTTTCTTAAAAATTTTGATGTTTACAAACTTAGAAAAGGAAAATGTAATTTGTATATTATTAAAAAAAAAAAAAAAAAATGACTCGTAAAACACGACCGACTCACCCAAAATTTTGATGTTTTAAAAATAAAATTTTCTTAAAAATTTTAATGTTTACAACATGGAAAAGGAAAATGTAATTTGCATATTTGAAAAAAAAATAATAATAATAATTTGACCTGTGAAACCCACCCGACTCATCCAAAATATTTAGGTTGGGTTATGAACATGACCCATTTTTTATAAAATTAGGCCTGGCCTAACCCAACCCGATTTTGGGTTGAGGTTGGATTGGGTCTAGGCTGGGTTGGGCCAGCTCAACTTGTAGCCCTTCGTGAGTGAGAGAATTTTAAAGAGAGAAATGAGTTGAGTGCAATAGAGAATAGATATGTGTTGTGCCTATTATGTGATGGGTAAAAATATGGATTGAATATGGGTATCTTGACCCTTAAATTAAATGGTTAAAAATTACCCAACCCATTTTTAACTCATCTTAAATATGATTCATCCAAAATCAATAAAAAAATGGACGAATATGAATGAATTGATGGGTTGTGACCTATTTTGTCACTCCTACTAGTACTTACGTTTTCTTAAAAAAAAAAAAAAAAAAAAAAAAAAAAAAAAAAATTGAATTTAATAATAAATAAATATATAAAAACTTTGAAACATAAAGGAAGATGAAAGAGGGAAAAGAAAAAAATTAAAAAATAAATAAAATTAAACGAGTGTACCACAGCCCATTCCTATAAAATAAAAATAGAAAGAGACAAGGTACCAAAGCCCATTCAATGGAAAAATTATTAGATGTCGTGTCACATTATGGATGTATCATATATCATAGTGGGGTCGCCCTGACATTTTACGAGCAGGGATTATAAATGAGGAATGGATAGAAAAGAGAAATGAAATATAAAAGAGAGAAATAAACCTACCTATAATAATTTTAAAAATAAAAAAAAAATAATTATTACATCAAATAGTTAAGTGAATTATTAGATATATTTTTTTAATTAATTATTTATACAAGGAAGTAAAATCTATCTAGTTGTATTTAATATAAATAATTAATTAAAAATTATTCTATATGTCAAAGGTCAATTCTCTTGAAAGAGGGAAATAATATAAGCGTACTAATTTCAGTTGGACCTAAATTAAAAAATATTTTCCAAACTAATATATTCCAAGAATTTGTACTTTGCATGCTTAATAAAAGTACAGATTCTTTTAAAACGCTATTCCTACTTTAATTTAGACGAATGCTCAACAATATCAAAGTCAATCACGATCTAATGATAACAATTTATTTGTAAGATTCTGATTATTATTATTATTATTTATTTAATAATTTCAACTAAATCGATTTAATAACGTAATTCAGACCAACTTGCCGTAGGATATTGCCAACTCCATCCAACTTCTCATTATAAATATATATAATAACAATTAGTATCCTGAAGACCGTTTGATTTACCACCCCCACCGCCAAAAGTCCAATAGGGTAAAACAATCAATCAAATAATAAAACCTCGTTAAAAAATTTACCAAAATATGCAACGCATGAGGCAGGTCAACATTTCTCTCACATACACAACTACAGATGAAACCAGTGAATGTCCCATAAAAGCTGCGTACCCAAATTAATTTCAACAATTGTCTGTCACCTCTAGTTAAAACCAGTTTCCAACCCAATCTTTAGAAAATAACCTACGAGCATAAAGAAGTGCAAGTGACATTGAAGTGACAATATTCTCCACTCTTGCGTCTTCTAAACCAGAACTTTTTATCATCGCATCAATCAATCAATCAATAAACCCCCTGCATTGAAGTGACGTCAATTCGAATTATTGAAAAACTTGATACCAACAAGGCAACTGAGCTGCTGCTACAAGTTCCCAACTCTAAACCATCATTTCATCTCCAATTGTCTATATCTTTAAAAATCATCAAACCTATTGACAATTTATGCAAGGATCCTATCAGTGTTTAAAGAGGATATTTGACCAATAAAACAACACAAATTACACAACTTGAGAGCTGGCTACTTCACAAGTATGTGTTTTACTTTTTACTTTTACCATAGGAAGAAATGCTCTTACTCGAATGAGTGATTGTGTGGTGCCCTTATCACCCAGCATGGCACTCAAAAACGCATGTTTGGTCAAGCAAAGGGTACTACTGCGTCTAAGGAGACGACAATGAATGGAATTGAAGATATATCTAATCCGAAGGATACAATCACTGGAAAAATCCAGTAGATACAAACTATTCATTTACAAAACACAATTCAAAATTATATAGAACTTGAGCAAAGTCAGTATGGTACAAACCAGAAGTTAATGAAGGATCATCAATGTTGCAGGATTATGTACATATTTCTATACGATAAGTTCATCTTCAAGATAGTTGTACTCGAAGGTGAATTCAGTCTTTATTCTCTGGCACCTGAGCATCAGTATCAGAGCAAACATAAATCATTAAAACCACAAAAATACATATTTCACTATAGTTAAGAATCGAGAAAGGGAAACTTGGACACGTTAACTAATTCAAAATGGCTTAAAGTTCAAAATTTTCAAAATCGAGCAACAACATTTAAAAACCTCCTAGGATCTTAAAACAATCAAATTAAACAAAACAAGAATACCGCCATTTCACAATTTGGGTATTTGGCACCTCTTTGTAGCCTTCGTTTTTATTTCACTCTAATCTCACCATTTAAGCAGCAAAAACTGACGGGGCCCAAAGCCCCATAATTTGACCAATTCAATCTGAACTAAATGTAAGCCAAAAGGACAATATGGTACTACTCTCAAACAAATAACAAAATGGCTTAGTTCCTATAACCGTGTCTCTGATTAGAAGTTAGGTTTCTTCCTATAACCATGTCTCAGATTAGTTAAACCTAACTGATCATAACTTTTTTTTTCCTTTTTTTTTTTTTTAAGGGGAACGCATCCTCAAAAGCTACACAAGTAGAGTTGATTTGCTCGCACAATTTATGGTAGCAATATGCCCAGTGTAATGCGTACAACCATTTGTTTTTCTTTATAATACTATTCTTGATTTCTTGTGTATTTTTTTTAGTCGATTCCTGATAATTAAACTTTTAAATAATTAAATTTTGTTATATTGTTAATTTAATTTATTTATTACTAGACATGGGTATTTTAGAGAAATTAATTTAAAATTAATACCATTTCAACTTGTAAAATGGATTAAAATGATAATTCCATTTCTACAATTAAACAGTAGAATATGAGTGATCATTCCATTCCTACAACATTCTAATTTCATTCCATTCATGTGCACCAAAAGTAGACTTATTGGAAAGATCATTTTACCACTTCACAAGATGCTAATAGCTTCCTTTACTGGATAAATTGTTATTTTCATTAAGAGGCCTGATAAAAAGTTACATGAAGTAGCTGGAAACTTGTAAATGGAGTTATGGAAGCCAAAATGTAAGCCAAAAGGCCAATATGGTACTAGTCTCAAACAAATAACAAAATGGTTTAGTTCCTATAACCATGTCTCTGATTAGTAGTTAGGTTTCTTCCTATAACCATGTCTCTGATTAGTTAAACCTAACGGATCATGACTTTTTTTTCTTTTTAAGGGGAACGCATCCTCAAAAGCTACACAAGTAGAGTTGATTTGCTCGCACAATTTATGGTAGCAATATGCCCATTGTAATGCGTACAACCATTTGTTTTTCTTTATAAAACTATTCTTGATTTCTTGTGTATTTTTTTTAGGCGATTCTTGATAATTAAACTTTTAAATAATTAAATTTTGTGATATTGTTAATTTAATTTTTTTATTACTAGACATGGGTGTTTTAGAGAAATTAATTTAAAATTAATACCATTTCAACTTGTAAACTGGATTAAAATGATAATTCCATTTCTACAATCAAACAGTAGAATATGAGTGATCATTCCATTCCTACAACATTCTAATTTCATTCCATTCATGTGCACCAAAAGTAGACTTATTGGAAAGATCATTTTACCACTTCACAAGATGCTATCAGCTTCCTTTACTGGATAAATTGTTATTTTAATTTAGAGGCCTGATAAACAGTTACATGAAGTAGCTGGAAACTTGTAAATGGAGTTATGGACACTGCCTTACACTTGTGAAGGTCTACTGACGAGTGACGACATATCTACATGTCATCATCATCAACCAGTTATAGACACTGCCTTAAATTTCTGAAGATCTATTGACAACGTATCTACATGTCATCATTAACCTTGTCTTCATCCCGTACAAATGGGGTCAGCCACATGGATTCTCTTTTTCCAATCTTTTCTATCACAAGTCATTTCTCCTACTATATTTAATTTTTTTAAATTATTTGTTATCATTTCAATCCATGTTAATTTTGGTTGACCTCTTTGTCTTTTATCTTCTATGCAAATCTATCTTCCTCTCCTCAACAGAGTATCTATAAGTCACTGTTGAATATATCCACACAACCTAAGCCTACTCCCATACTTTCTAGTTAACAAACACCACACCTAATTTTTCTTTAATCCTTTAATTATTTTTTTTTTGATAAGTAATAATAATTAAAAAAGGCGTTCAAAAGGAAACGTGTTCCTTAGACATTAGTGGAACCGGGGCCCAAGGCCCCAAAGAATCCAAAAAAGTAATTAAATCATCAAAAGAGGAGCATGAACTCCTCTTCACATAACTAAAGAGAGAACGAATAATAAAAAAGTTTCAACGTCGCCGTAGATGACCCCTTCCCTTCGAGCATTCTACTATTTCTCTCCTTCCAGATGCACCACCAAACGCAATGTGAGACAGTTCTCCAATAATCGCGTACACCCTACTCACACGACATCCTCTCCAAGCATAAATCAAATCCTTAGAAGAACATGGCATCACCCAACATATGCCAAACAACCCAAGAATAAGATTCCAACAATCGTGCGCCACGGGGCAATGCATCAACTGACTCCCCATCTTGCTTGCATAGGCAACACTAATTAACAAAACAATTTCCCCTCTTCCTCAAATTATCAATTGTCAGTATCTTGCCCTAAACAGCGGTCCATACAAAGAATGTCACCCTAGTTGGAGCCATAGAGTCTTCCATGGGAAGTCAAGGCTGACAAAATTAGACAGACATAAGAATAAAAATCTTACTTCAAAGCGAACGTGAGAAAAGGGAATCCATATCAAATTTTCATAACCCCTGCCAGTTCCTTCCTGCCGATACAATTGGTTCAGGAAAACACTTACCTCGTCCAACTCTCAATCCTAAAATGAACGCCGAAAATACACATCCCACGTAATCCCACTACTATCAAGCCGATAACAGTCATCTACATAGGCATGTTTATCAATTGCAATACTGTATAATCTGGGAAATTTACGAAATAATGGCTGATCCGCACACCAAAGATCTTCCCAAAAATAGACGCAACTACTATCACGAACTTTGAATCTGATATGTGAGGAAAAGGAATCACATCCCTTCCGAATGGATTTCCACGCCCCAACTCCTCCCACAAGAGAAACCGGACAGGTAGTCCAACCGCCAACGTCTTCCCCATACCGACTTGAGACTAACCTTCGCCAAGGACGATGTCTTTCCTTCCCGTATTTCCACAACCATTTTCTTAGGAGAGCTTGATTAAAAGGAATCAATCGTCTAATACCAAGACCACCTAACTTCATGGGCTTGCAGACTTGCTCCCATCTGACAAGGTGATACTTGAACTCTTCTCCCCTTCCGCCCCAAAAGAAATCCCTTTGAATTTTTTCAATCCTATCAACAACGGAGCATGGAATTTGGAACATAGATAGAAAATATGCGGGGAGGCTCGTTAAAGTAGTTGGTCTAATGACTGTAGTATAAACTATCCCTTTTAATTTAATTGGTATCCATTTAGATAAAACCCCACTAGCATTCCTCCACTTTGTCCAACTTATTCCAATTCTACTATTTATATCATCATCAATCTCTTCATCTTTTTTGTAAAATTGATCCTAACAGTGCTGTTAAAGGAGCGCCTAGGTGTGCACCTATGCTCAAGGCGCAGGTCTAGCGTCTATTGTCATCCCAGGCGCACTGATGTTTACTAGGCACGCGCCTTAGTTGCGCCTCGTCCTATTTGTCAGGCGCTCCTCACTGTTATTTTTTTAAAAAAACTATTATTCTATTTCTTAAGCTGAAAAGGGGTACATTTGGCAACTTAATAAACAAATAAGAAAGCTTACGCATATGACAGAAGGAACTTTTGTTCAAAAGAATAAACAAATAGGAAAGTCCAAGAGTCAAGTGTCAACCAAACATAGAAAGAGTGAGACTGTGAGACCAACGACAAAACCCCAGTGGCAAAGACAAAAGACGAAGCCATGTCATTTCGTTCTTCTTCTTCTCTATCCTCTCTTCTCATCTTTGTTTACTTCACTCTCTTTGTCAAGTTCTCCTCTCTGTCTTTATTTTTTGGGGCTCTATTTTTTCTCCTTTTTCTTCTTTAACACTTTCTCTCTTCTCATCTAATTCTCGTCTCTGCGACTTCTTCTTTTTTTTTTGGGCTCTATTTTTCTTTTCTTTTCTTTTCTTGTTAACAGATCCCCCCTCTTTTTGTGCTCTATTTTGCCTTCAATTTGTGCTCTGTTTTATGGTTCTTGAATTCTTATATAGTTGATGGAATTACTTTTTTATATTTGATGTTAAATAAGAATATTAATATGACTAATGAGATGTGAATGCTTTTATGGTAGTTGCGTGCCTCGCCGTGCACCTCGCGCCTTTAATAACACGGGATCCTAACTATCGAAAAGAATTACGTATCTACATGTGCAAGACCTATACTGCAGCTGTGTCCACCAAATTATAAATGAATGACATCTCAAATGGACTTATAATGTGCAATGGGAACCAATAATCAATTCATATCAAACTTTGAATGAAACACAAGAATACTAGTTTATTCGAAAAATAAGATTCAAGCAAGCATACCATCCATGTTGAATTTCATCATTAGCGATATGGAAATCAAAGTACACATATGTCCCCTGTTCGAATTCATCAGTAGTGACTTTTGGCTCCTCACGCCGTTGAAACCATGTGTTGTATTTTTTATGGTATCTCCATGATTGCTTCTTCAACTCTTTTGCAGCCAAATATTGCTGATAAGTATTCTGCAATGGACGGTTAACTTGAGAACATGTTAAAAGTAAATTGTACACCTAAAAATACAATATAAGAGAACATAGAAAATACAAACGACCTGTTGATAGTAAAACGTGAAGAAAAATGTATCAGTGGCATAATTATCAGCTCCAAGACGTTCCCAAAAGGCAGGATTATTGACAATTGGTGCCTGTACTTGAGGATAGCTCGCAGGGGTCACTGCAGGATGCCTCTGCAGGAAGCCAAAAGAAATATTAAATTACATGATTTTTTTTTCCCAAATCAAGTGGTGCAACAAATATCTAGGTCAAGTAACTTCCATACTGGAGTATAGCTCTTTGCACGTTCCGAGTCTTTGGGCTGAGGAAGTTTGTAATAAGCAGCCTCAAGCATCTGCAAATTGTATAACTGATCATGCATTCCTCCAGAACTCGCAGCTGATCCACTGAGATTATCACCAATGGCACCTAGGTCAGAAACGCTTCTCCGACCAATAACACCAAGTCCACTAGAAAGTTGATTGGATTGTAAAGGTTGCCCAGGAGAGAGATCAGTATCCCTTAGCACTTGGGCAGGCTCTGTCAAAGAGCTTGATATTCCTGCCTGTAGTATAGAAAGAATTACACACAAACACAAACAAAAAGAAAAGGACTCAATATACCACCAAAGAATCAACTTTATTCTTTTAACAAACACCTCCATGTCATACAACAATCGTGCGGTCAGCAAACCAAGGGATGTCACTATACTGGCTTCAACAATGTAAAATATTACCTGTAGACTGTTGATTTTTTTTATTTTATTATAATTATTAATTTTTTTTTTAATTTTGAAGAGTTCTAAAGTGACTCCAAAGCTTTAAATAAATGGATGTAATTGATTATGCATCTGAGTCAACATACAACTGTACAGTAGGACTATGGTGGTCGAAATGGACCAACAGCTTGCCAAGCTAGCATTTTGAACTTATATACCCAACAGAATATTACATGTATCAGTTATATGAATAAGTGACAACGGGAACTTTGATTAAATAAACTAGGTAATGTGTTGTTTTTACAATTAGCTACAGATATTCTATAACAATGCCCAACATCAAATTGAACTATCATTAATTTGTTCAATTACAACCTATTAATCAGTAGCTCAATACCAAGTACCACCAATACCAAGTCATGCTAAAACTGCTAGCAAGACTAGCCACGCATGTTTCTCCAATTCTAGGCTTATATGATTTAAAACATTTTGGTTTAAAATGGACCATTTGTTTGTCTGACCAAAAATCCATGTACAAACTCAAAAGTGTAATGGAAGGCAATTTAGAAGACAAAAAATCGTACTAGAGTATAGAACTATAAAAGCTTCAATCCTTAGAATCTATACTGTAGATCACTAAGCTCATAAAACCCAGCGACATAGAGTTGAGAGAGATTGAGTACTGTCAAGGCCAACAATTATATAGTAGAGATTCAATGTGAACCAGTTAGGAGTTTGATTTGACACACACTATCAGCACATGTAGCATTGTTATTAAGTGTCCAAATGTGTCTCAAGCTAAGAAGCACCGACACGTGTGTTTGACCTAAGGTACTGGTGTCGGACACATGTACGACACGGACACGCATATCCGAGGCTCGGACACATGTCCGACACCTTGAATCTATGTCGCAATTTTTTATTATTAAAAATTGCAACGGACACGGCTGTGGACACGTCGGGACACGGCGGACTGTTGATCAGAGCTTTTTTTTTTTTTTTTTTTTTTTTTTTCATAACATAGAGAACGAGACGATACATATAGAGTATATATCCAGTATATACATATAAAACACACAAGAAAAAGAATATGGAGAGAGATCAGAGTTAACATACAAGTCATTGTATAAACTGTAAAATGATAATACAACCATATATACATAACAGAATGCAATCTTGGCTCAGATCGTGTGGAGTTGTTTGCCTTGATTTCATCGGATGAGTCGATTCAAGGCCGGTGCGTCAGTGAGGTTGGTGAGGAAAAGGATGGGAAAGAGCCGGAGAAGAAGGACCTTTTAGAATGTGAACAGACGTGTCAATGTAAGAGAGAGAAATATGGAAAGAGATAGAAGTGTCAGATACAAATCTTATCACTTTTAGTGGTTGTTTGGTTACAAGAATTGCTTTGGATTATTTTGGAATAGAAAGACATCCTTGTTCATTTGGGCTTGTACTCTTTATTTTATTTTTAATAAAAATAGTGGGACTTAAATATCATGTTTAATAATATAGATAAAATAAATTGAACAAAATTTAATTTTATTTATATAAAAATAAATTATATTATAATTTTATTGCCGTATCCTTGCCGTGTCCGTGTCCGTGTCCGTGTCCTATTTTTTTGGAATTTGCCGTATCGCCGTGTCCGTGTCGTATGGTACCCGTGTCTCGTGTCGGTGTCCGTGCTTCATAGGTCTCAAGTAAAGACTAATCCGTGGGGATACCTGTAATAACCTCCAGCCCACATGCATTGGGTTTGTCTGGGGAGAGTCAAAGCTGAGATGTACGATTCCTGAACGATGCCTTGCTCAACTCATCAATCCATTCCGGTTGGAAAATCAATTTATTTGATAAAACATAAAGCGTCCATCAAAGATAAAAGCCTTTCCACTAAGCAACATAGCATCTTCAAAACCAATCATAACATGACTACTGTCCAGTGCCTATATTTTTTACAATAGCTGCAGTTTTCCACCCAATTCCAGTGTCAATATGGATATGGCATCACTGCTATAGCAAGTTGGGAATAATGCTAATTTAGCACTCCCATAATCTCCTGAGAGCCCCTACATGCGAAAACTTTAACACCATCCTTTTAGGCCCAAATCTCATTGTAAACCACAAACTCAGGATGAATAAATATAGTAGACAGGGCTCAAACATGTGGATTTCTAAGATCTCTAAGGAGTCTTAAATAGTCTCTCTAAACGATTTATCCATGTAGCTATGAGCAGTTAAGGTTCAATGTTCATAGGCACGATCAGGGGCATTTGAAATATTTGAAGAGGCATGGTATTCATATAGAAACAGTAGGCCCAAAGTCCAAACATACAGGGATAGTATGATTTGTAGAGGATAAGGAATATAAAGTCTATGATTAATGGACACTGTTATTGCATCAAAAAAACATTACTAGAAACAAAATCTTATTCATGTTTTTTAAAATAACTATTTTTCCTGCTTCTCATCTTATTTTTCTTTACTTCCACATTTTGTAAGGTTTAACAGTCAGACCATCAATGATAGAATTAATGATCTTTTTCATGCAAGCATATCAAAGACAAGTTGAGCTCAAGCTTAACCAAACACAACTGTACCAAACTCAGACAAGTATTCGTACGCTTGTTTGAAGTGAGCGCAATTTAACCTAATCATGACTCATCGAGGCCCAAACATTCCAATACTCAGCATCGCTTGCCTCGTTTGCAGCCATATATTAGGTTTGGTTATGATAGTTAAGGCATCACATATCTTACCAGACTCTAGTCCTAGTTTAACAAAAGTAAATTTTGTAATATTATGGTTACAACACTTTCCAAAATAAAAATGATTTCAACAAAGTTCCCAGAATTCTCCCTTGCAACTCTTCCTTAGCAATAAGCAATGTTCAAACATGTCCTTCTGGATATTTTCCTTAGTTTCTTTGAGAACTTCCTTCAGGATCCCTTTTTTCTCCTCAGTTTCTTATCCCATAAGCAATATATTTCATACCATATCCCACAATACATTCCAAGTTGCAGGTAAAAATGTCCTGAAACACATTCTAAGTCATTCTATCAATCTTGCTTAAATCATAACAATCAAAAAAATGACACTAATTCCCAAGAATGGAATATATTGTGGAAGGAAATGGGCAGTTCTACATAAATACCCTTCAAGATTTTTACGTTTCAAGGAATGCTTTTTTTGAAAAATGGCTTAGATGGTACAGTAACCAGCTAACCACCAAAAAAAGGAGGTTGCTTTGCTTTCTGCATTGTATGCACTCCAACATATATATAAAAAGAATTAACAGTATGTATGGTCCATTGAACACAAAAATTGCTTCGCATATATATATCCTTACATGGCAATTAAATTAAACTACAAATGCTCTGATTAAAAATTAATAAATATAAGAAAATTTGTGTTTTATGTAGGTGCTAATAATTAGTAAAAATCCAACCAGGTTAAAGAACAGTAACATAAGGTAAAGTTATTAAACATACAGGTGAATCCAACGAATAGGAGGCTTTCATATCATCCTCATTCAGGAGATTCTTGCCGAGACCAGAACTCGGAGCAGACTCGGCAGTAGAATCTTCAGATAGAGTCTGTTGTTGCTGCTGCAACTCTTCAAGTTTTGCATTCCCAACCTCTGCATCATGGATAAATAACATTCATTTATTCTGATTTTGAATTAAGTTTTATTTCAAGAGACTTATGGAATATGAGTTTTACAATCAAGCCCGATCCTAATTACCTGAATATGCTAAAATTTGACAAGATTGGTAGAACAAAGCTCTTGAAATTGAATTTGTTTAAAAGTCATTTTAGTTTCGCCAACAATGTTTTAACCCCAGACAACTAGGTCAGAGTGTCACATCAACTTTGTTTAAAAGGGAAAAAATGGCATGCACGCCATAAAGAAATATAAAGATGACTACTAAAATACTACCAGAGTCTTTTGATCCTGACGACATCAATGCCTGCTGGGTAGATTGTTGATGGACTGAATTTGGCTGCTGCTGTAAGGAGGCAGATGTAGTATTGAGACTTGCTGCTTGGACTCCAAGTCCCAACCCAACTTGAGGTGAGACAGATGAGCTTTGAGAATTGAACTGAACAAATTATTAAATGTCATGCAATGGTTACTGGTAAAAAAAATTATTGAAAAAAAAAATGCAGAACAAAGCGGATCAGAAAGGAAAGTGCATATTAATTACTATTTAAACAGATTCACATACTGAAACAAACAGTGGAGGCAGAAATAAAGAATATAAGTTTCATTTTTTTACTTTTTAACAGACTGTAGAGGGGAGTTTGCAGCATTAAATAGGAATCTAAACTTTTTATTTTTTTTGGCAATCAGATACGTATCTTTTTCTCTATTCTGTCATGTTCAATGCACATGCAGTCATGCACCACTTTATACTTAACCAAAATCCGGAAATCACTTCTAGAGTAAGCTTTCTTTCATATTATGGGTCAACCACTAAATATTGAAGGAAATTCAATGAAGCTATAACTATTACATATTAGGTAACTAGATTCAAGTCCCTTAACAGTAAAGATTCCCACGGAGGGTGTGTAAGCTGATGATGTGAAGATGTTCGTGCTGGATGATGGTGGCTGTTGACAGTGTAACAATGAAGGATGTGAATTGGGGAGCCAACAGCAGCATATAAATGATACTTACAGTGAGGAAATGGCAGCGGAAATGAAAAAGGGAGGAGCGATGAAGGTGGTTTGCTGAGTGGTGTCAAAGGTGGTGCTGGTATTTGTAGAGGCATTGTTGGTAGCTTTTATTGCATATGTAGCAGTTGTGATTATTTAGATTTATCAAACTAGCGTCATCAAAACTACCCTACCTCTGAAACTTCAAAATTTCGTATACCCAGTGTTCTTTTAAATAAAGGATGTTGGGAAGTGATGGGACTGCATAAAGATATATTAATTGTAAAAAATGACTATCTTCATACTTGAACCCGTGTTCTTGCACTTGCAGCCCAAACCACTGCACAAATCTTTTTTATAGAAATATTGGACACCTTTGAGAAGGGCTATTATTTTTTATTTTTTGTGTGTGTGTGTGAGAGAGAGAGAGAGGGGATTCAAAAAACTATATGCTGTAAATTAAGTACATGATGTGAATGAATCACTGAACTTATTCTTTGTTCTCTAGATTAAAATCATGAAAATTCACAATCATCATCATCATCCTTGCCTTTATTTCATATGGATGGTGCCGGCCACATCAATTCTCTTTTTCCATTCTTTCCTATTATACACCATGTCTTCTCTTAAATTTAAGGTTTTTATATCATTTTTAATTACTTCATCCTACATAAAGCTTTGGTCGGCCCGGCCTCTTTGTCGCTTGCCTTCTCAGCAAACAACTCTTCCTCTTTTAATAGAGGCATCATCGGATCTACATTGAATATGACCATACCACCTAAGTCTACTTTCCAAAATTTTATCATTTATAGGCGTTATACCTAATGCTCCCCTCACACATTCATTAATTATCTTATCTCTTCCAGTTATTCCTATCATCCATTGTAGCATCCTCATTTTCACTACATGAATGTGTTGTATTTGTGTCTTTTTCAATGCCTAACACCCTGCTCCATACAATATTGCAGGCCTAATAACTGTTCTACAGAGTTTTCCTTTTAATTTATTTGGCATTCATTTGTCACAAAGGATACCACTAGTTTGCCTCCATTTTGCCCACCCGACTCCAATCCTACTTACTACATCGCCATTTATCTCCCCATCTTTTTGTAATATTAACCTTAGGTAACAGAAATAGTTCTTTTGCATGACTCTTTGGTCTTGAAGTGTAATGTTTATATTGTCATTGGTTCCTACTTTATCAAATTCACACTCCATACATTCCGTTTCAGTTTTACTAATTCTTAGGCCCCTTGATTTTCTAATGTATTTCTCCATATATCTAACTTTATTGCTAAGGCTTCCTTAAAAGTATCAATTGATACTATGTCATCCACAAATAACATACTGAAAAGTGGTGAATGTTGCACATTTGAGCCCGTAAAGTTGCATATCATAGTTCTTTAGTAATTCTTATGTAGTAGTACTTATATCATTTTCTTAGTTTCGGTTATTTTCAGGTGTTCGCCTTCAAAAGTGGTCAATTCTACTTGCTTCGGGCCTTCAGTGATGTTTCCAAGGATCGAGGAAGATAGCAGCTTGCTCGGGATCGAATTAGAGCTCAATCAAACTAAATGCACTGTTTCTCAGCATTTGGAAGTTTGAACTTCCGAACAAAACAGAATGCCATGAAAATTCAGCCTTGGAAGTTCGAACTTCCAAGGTTGCATTTGAACTTCCAAACTTCCATTTTGAAAGTTCAAATGCCTGGGCATATTTCCTAATTTTTGCGGGATTGTTGATTTTTGCCTTCTTCCAATCCTACTTGGGCCTGACTTCTTCAAAAAATTGGAGCACGAATTTAGGTCCTATTGTTGGCCAATATAGGTCAAAATTAATGCCTATTGAAGGGGGAGAACACACAGGAGAGTTTTGGCGGCTTGAAGCAATCTTCCATTGTTGAAGCTTGAGGAAGGTGACTCCGATCAGATTTTCAATCCATGGAGATGGCGTTCATAACATCATTGAAGATTTCTACCTTCTCCATGAGTAGCTAAACTCCTTCTTAGGGAATTGATGTAACCCTAATCAAGTAACATGGTCTAATTGTATTTATTTTGGGGGATCTTTTCTGGTTGTGTATCTTGTGATTGCATGGTTAGAGGATTGACTTAGTTGTACTAAGCAATTGGGTTTTAATGTTTAAATTCAGGTTTTATTAATGATAAAAGTCGATTTACTTTTATTTTCTGTGAATATAAAGGTAACGAACATGCAATGGTTTTCATTGAATATATAAACAAGTGTTTTGATAGTTCATGCTTAGGGAAGATAGGTTGTACTACACCTTAGTTTAGAATAGTTAGGTAGACAATTTGTGCCAACCGAAGATGATTTATGATTAGTACTTGATTATATATATCTTCTTAATTAAATCAAGGTGAGTGTAGCCACATGATTAACAAAATACATTCAATGAATTTCCCTGGATTTAATATAAATGGCCATGGTTATGAGGTTAGTGGTGAAATAAATTCCCTAGGTCTCTTTCTCTTGATATCTGTTCTCTCCTAACTTAGTTTAATCTCAGTTCTTTCTTTCTTTGCAAGTAGAAATAAGAAAACAATCTAACAATCTTTTCTCTTGAATAAAATTCGGAAATAATTTTACCCTTAGCAATACCAACACGGTCTTTGAGGTTCGACACCCTCAATATAGCCCTATCCTACAAGAATTTGTTCTTTTGCGAGTGGTTTTATTATTGAAAACACACATCACATACACAATGGGATGTTCTCATAAACATCTTTCATTATTTAGTCTAATATTAACATACATAAGAATGGACTCAACACCGATCCTTGGTGTAGTCCCACTTTTATAGGGAAGTCACCCGTTTCCCCGCATGTAGTGTTAACTTTTAACTCTAGTCAATGTCTCATTACACATATCTTCAATAAAATTAATAAGTTTAATAGTTACTTGTTTTCTTTGTAGAGTCCACCAAATTATGTCCCTAGGCACCCTATTATACGCCTTCTCTAAATTTATGAAAACCACATGCAAGTTTTCTTGTTTACTCCTACATTCTCCTATAAGTTGTCTTGTTAAATATACGGCATGTATTATTACATCATGAAACTTTACAATATAAAATTTAATTCCAAGATCTAAAGTTACTCAGATAATCAACTAGCTCTGCTCCAAAAAGAAAGAAAAAGAAATAACAATCAAATAAGAAACAGAAAAAAAAAAAAATGAAGAAATAATCCACAGCTTAAAAAACCTCAAGTAAAAGGCAAATTATATCATTAATACAAACATAAAAGAGCACCTGCTGCAAGAGTGGGTTCTGTTGTTGTGCGGTGAACTGTTTATGATTTCCTCCAGCAAGAGGAGGCAAGCCAAGAAGGTTAATCTGACCCTGTTGCTGCACCTGCTGGAATCGCTGTAAGAACTTTTCCCTCTGATCAGGCGCAATTTCAGTTCTTCCACGGATCTGCCCCTAAAGCAAATTAACAATTTTCAGTTCAACAGAATGACTCTTATCAAAGGAATGTAACTAAAAGAAATTCAAATTTTTATCTCTGATCAAGTAAAAAATCGTGATTATCTGCATCAACGCTGAGTAAACTTAGTTATTGCAAGAATAGTGATTTTGTCTCTATTACAAGACCCAGTGTTGGTCACTCAAAGATTATATGGGATTTTCTTTTAGCAGGCCTTGATAAAGAGAAAAAATTTCAAGCTGTTGGTTGGAATAAATTATGATGCCAAGAGAGAATTGCTAGGGAAGGAGGCTGCTATGGTGAAATGAATCACTTAGAGAAAGTGAAGGCTTGCCATGGAAATATAGTTCATAGAGAAAAATTTTGGCTTAGAATATATGTGCGAATAGGAAAATTGGTGGTCCAACAAAGATGTGAGACGAAGCCATGCCAGAGCAGTTTTATTAAAATACTAAAAAGTTCTTACATGGTCTCTAAAACAGATCCAGAAAAGATGTTCAATGGAGTAATGGGATGGGCTTATGTAAGTGTTAGAGAAGCAGAGAATTCTACAAAGCAGGTGATTTTAAGACTCCAGGATGACTCGAAAGTTGGATTCTGTAATCATAAACACTTTATCAATGATTACATTTAATTAGTAAATGATGGATAATTCCAAGTATGTGTATTGTGTGTAAGAAAGTAGAATAGAAGTGGGTCACCTTTTTCTTCATTCACCAACGGTTTTTAAGCTCTCTTATTCTCTTTATTGGGAATTCAAAGGTAGCTTTCATGCACATCATTTGATATGTTAAATGGGCAGTTATTCAAAGTTGTGAGTAGGGAAAAGAATATAATGTGGGAGGCTGCACTTCTTGTTATAATTGAATAAATAAATAAATAAAGAACATAATATCTAAATGTAAAATGCTAGAAATTCCCTCCCTCATCTGTACGACTTCCCCGATTGACAATTGTAATGTAACTAATGCTTAAACAAAAAAACAAAAACAAAAAATAAAATAAAAAAACAAACAAAAACCAATAAAAATCTTTTCTGCACCCATCAAAATAATACACCAAATCAACTTCCGTAGCTTGAGGAGAGAAAAATAAATAAACTAATTTAAAACGAAACAAGCAATCAATGGTATAAAAATGATATACAATATAAAATAGTAACATCCCTATTTTTGAAACTTCAGAACTACGGGAAAAAATTTACATTTCGCATAAACACCAGACCGTGCCAACTAAGATAAGCTAAAGCATAAAAATGGAACAAAAAATCTACATACCCCTTCATTCTGAAAGGAACTTCCAGGCCTCCACTGTATGCCAGGAACTACGGAAGGGGAGAAAACACGGCCAGCCATAACTGCAGCTTCACCAGCATTACCACTGTCAGCTCCGCTGCTTCCATCATTAGCCTTGGTGACCTGGGGCAATATCATTCTATTACTTAGTGGGGAAACCAGAGGCTGCACCATGCCACTACTCCCAATTCTCTCATCAGCTCCTAATATATTTCTCTTTGCCATTTCAGCGGCCAAGGGAACAGCACCAGGGGATCCATTGGTAGGAATTGTACTGCCAGAATTAAGGGGGATACTGGTCGATGGTTGGTTGGATAGGCCACCTCTACAAGTGCCTCTAAATCCAGTTTCAGCAAGAGCAGGAGATGATTTGCGAACAGGGAAGGTTGCAGTTTCTTCTTCCTTAGCAGTACTAGACATGGGAGATGATGGAACACCTGCATTTTCTAAGACACCCCGAACAGACGTTGAACTTGAAAGGATTGCTGAAGCAGATGATGCACCAGACAGACTCTGAACTGAAACAGTCAGAGCACTAGGAATGGCATGGCTTCCCGGTGGTGTTGATGGAGCAGAAGAACCAATTGCACTATTTTTAGCGGGTGGAGTCCTTGCCACAATATCAGAATTACTGTCCTGGGAAGCCATCTCCTCAACTTGCTCCAGGATGGACGTACCCTGTTAAATAGAAGAGGTAACAGAAGCCTAGAAAGGTAAGCTTCAATAATACTATACATCACAGTAGTATCGGCTGAAGGCATAGAACACAAATACAGGAAATTAAGCCATAGGCTTCCTTAAGTAAAATTTGTACCAGTTGGCAGGCACAAAATTGTAATATAGGTCCCAATACAAGGTTACTGTAGTAAACTAGCAGGGATATAGTTGTCTAAAGAAAGTAAAAGTAGTATACAATCAAAAATAGATGCATTTGAGAAAAAAGAAAGCACTCTCTTTCCAATGCTCTCCCCAAGCTGGCAAACGTTGACATAGCAGGCACACTTCTAAAACGAGCTGTGTGTGCATTGCATGTATCAGACAGCAACAAAACCCTGTAAATGTGTCTACAACTTTGGATGTCTCCATTTTCTGAAAATAAATATCTTCATTGCATACACTTATCCTATACTTCACAGGTATTACCAAATACATGAGCAAGAAAAGCATGTGTAAAGCGTATTCTTTCGATACATGTGCATGTTCACAACCTCAGAAATAAGGCTCCAGCTATTATGCTAAACAAACCCATTAGCAATCCCAAAACCTGATCTAGCAAAGTAATTAGTTCTTCTATGTAGGTTGACAAGGCAGCATGTAGTCCTTTAATATGGAACCCATACAAACCAGGGTTTATTAAACATTTCACATGAATGTTTAGTATTAACTACCATATAACAATTTGTGAGGATGTACAACTTCAACCATTGTCAGAGGTGAGAAAAACACCAATTTAGGACAGGAATGCATTTTCAAGAAATCTAACCGCTATAAAAAAATGTACCATGCCTAAAGAGCGAACAAAGATCAAGCACTGCAAGAAAAAGAATCCTCAAGGAGACGATTACATAAAAAATAACAGCAGAGCAGGAAGAACGATGAATATGTGAGGAGGAAGTAGAATTCTCTTAATGGGCAATTCTAACATCTCCAAGAATGGGAAATACAGTCCAAGCAAAACTCAACATATAAAACAGATATATCCATTAGAAAATGTTATAGCTAGGCTTATACTGCTCGGTAAATTCAACATTTTTTTTTTTTTTTGATAAGTCGGTAAATTCAACATTTAGGTATATACTTCTAAAATTTAATTTCAACTGACAAGCTGAAAACCAGAACCAAACTTTTTAACTAAACCAGATAACCCCATTTCTTTCAATACTAAAAGCTACCGAGCAAAAGGTAAAAAGAATTAGAAGCCGTACTGTGGTTGGAGCTGCAAGACCGCAGTGGAACCTACAATGAAAGGTGCCTTATCTCTTCTATTTATGCTAAGGTTTCCAGATATGTTAGGTTTAACTAGGCAGATGAATCAGAATAAACTATCACAACAATTGAGCCTGAGTCAGGTCATTGGTCAAACAACACATGAGAATTCCTTATTAACCATTATTAACCATATTTATCCAAGCTTTCTAAAGGGAAACACCAAGTCCAGGATGATCGGGCCTTAAATTCTTCTGGTCAAAGTAATGGAGAAACACCTACCGGCAGTTGAGCTGCGGATGCTGTCAGAGAAGTTTTCGTGCTTAAAACTGCACTGCCAACCCCAACACTCTGTCCAAAAACAAAAATACTCATTACTTTTTTAAAGAAGTTTTATTATGGGACTATGACGACAAGACACTAAGAATATTCTGGAACTTGTTAAAATGCATGGATTTTTAATAAATTGAACCAATCAATCTTCTTGTCTATAACATGAGAGAGAGAGAGAGAGAGAGAGAGGACCTCCAAACACAAAGATTGATTCACACTTGGTTCAAACGAGGAACCCCAAAAAGCAGAATCAGAATTAAACCCTGAGAAGGACATGAGGACTCAAAAAACAAATAATGAACTATTGCCAGCATTGTTCTTACTTCTTTATTGTTGTCTACATTAGTTTAGTATTAGAGCATGTATTAAAGTAGTTTCCACACTTCTCCTACCTTTTAAAGCTTCGGAATGCAAAGAGGCTTACAGTACAGAGATAAAAATCCTATACAGCTTGAGGACCTACGGTTTCTAACACGTCATCTCATACCCAAGATTACCCTGAATCTTCAAGTGTCATGCACTAGTTTGGTACCAGAGTAGGTAGAAAAGTATGCCGTTGCATTTGTCCTACCTTGGGGAGATTTTGAATGCAGTTAAAACACAAAGATGGATATACAAGGCCAATACAGCTTAAGGATCACAGGCACTAACACATCATCTCATGCCCAATAGTTTCAAAACAATAGCCAAGATAGAGACAAGTTATTTTACAATAAATGTTGGATGGCCTCTGGAAGTTTTCAGAAGGAAAAAGAAGAGGTCGATAAAGCAATAAATTAAGTAAAACACAATGGTTTGGAAGTAAGACGAAAACAAGATTGAGGACCTACGGTTTCTAACACGTCATCTCATACCCAAGATTACCCTGAATCTTCAAGTGTCATACACTAGTTTGGTACCAGAGTAGGTAGAAAAGTATGCCGTTGCATTTGTCCTACCTCGGGGAGATTTTGAATCCAGTTAAAACACAAAGATGGATATACAAGGCCAATACAGCTTAAGGATCACAGGCACTAACACATCATCTCATGCCCAATAGTTTCAAAACAATAGCCAAGATAGAGACAAGTTATTTTACAATAAATGTTGGATGGCCTCAGGAAGTTTTCAGAAGGGAAAAGAAGAGGTCGATAAAGCAATAAATTAAGTAAAACACAATGGTTTGGAAGTAAGATGAAAACAAGATTAAGTTTAAACATGCACATAAACAATATTCAGCAAATACAGTACTGTATGGAAGAAAGAGTTCACCTTAACAATACCAGGAGGAACAATTGTAACTAGATCCTCTAGAGTCTCCACCTTGTCTAACGGTAAGGAGATGTAAAGCTCATCAACGTCACTGAATTCTTCAAAGTCATCCTAAAGAATTAACTCAAAAAAAAAAAAGTAAAAAACTAGTTTTGGGTGCCCCCAACTGCAAGAAATTAAACAGCCACCTATTCTTAGAGAATCCAGCGGACAAACAAAATATAGAAGGCAAGTGTGTACATGATCTTAACAGCATATGTCGCATTTAAGAACATGCTGACACTAAGGATGCTAAAGAAACGAAATCGAACTTCAAAGTAAATATGTTTGATCATACTGAAAACAATTTTAGATCTAAATAATAACACTGATTAAGGAGGGTTCGGCAATAAAAACCACGTTTGTATAAAGTAAACCTGATTACGTTCCACGTAGTCGTCCAGGAAATCCTTAACATCATTGACCTGCTCAGGACTCAATTCATCGTTATCCAGCAGCCTCAATATCAATTCTAACTTCATTATATGAGCCTTGTGCCGCACGATAGACGTCTCTAAATGTGTCTGTAAAATGAAGATTGTTGATAAATTGTGATTAAAAAGAATAAGCAATCATTTTTGTGGGATCATGCACTCTTGTCTTCAGTCCTACCAATCTGGGTGGCCTCGTTTTTCCTTTCTTAACAGATAGCCCCTCAATCTCAGCTTCAAAGCTATCAATTTGAGATTCCAACTCCGAAACCTACTCAAGGACATACAACAAATCAATTTTTTTTTTTTTAATATTTGATCTTATAATACTGAAATGTAAGAAAAAGGGTAATGTGGTAGTGTTGAATGCAATAAAGATGTGAGGCGCCAACATACACATCTAAAAGATGTTATTTGGAAATAAAAGAGTGAGCATAATTCTCTAAAGCGTGGAAGCATGGAAAAGTAATATTTTTGCCAACCTTCTTGCTTATAGTACTTATCTTTTTTATAAGCTTTTGAAAAAGGCACCTAAGAAAAAGCACAATCAAAGCACGCATGACACATACACCTTGAATCATAAACTATATCATCCAGCGATGAGTTAAACATATAATCCCATCTATCACATGTATAATATAGCATACATAATAGAACATCCTATTCCCATACAAGTCACTTTAAAGAGCACAATAGATGGCTCGGTATTGTCAACATAGTGGGAAAAAAAAAAATTTGAAATCAAGAAAAAGTGCCAATGGCTTGACCAAGACCGGATTATTAGATAAACAAGATATCATGCAAAATGCTTTGTTTCATACCACATTGTTCAACCAATCTCTCGTCTCTGATTTAGCCTTCTCCCTCGGATCCTATCAACAAAAAACAACAAATTATTAGATAAACAAAGAAGTGTTAAATTAAAACTAAATATCAATGTTTTTCTCCGGAAAACTTAAACTTAAACTTCAATTTTCAATAGTAAAACTATTACCGCCCAGAGACATGCAAAACCATATTTAAATCCATGAATAGTAATAAAATCTGTGAAGATTTCCTAGTCACTTTATGTAATTGGTAAAAAAAAAAAAAAAAAAGAGCCTGCTTTAAAAGAGAAGCTAATTTTGATAGGTAACAAAGCAACAAGGTGACCTCAAATCATCAAATCCGCGCATTGTACAAATAAAATGTTAAATGGTATTACTTCAGAAATATAATTAATTCACTGAAAATTGTAAACTTCATAGCAAGTTTGCAACTGCCCTAAGTGACTCGCATACTTTGATCAGTATCAGCCAGGAAAAAAACAAATGCAGTACTTACTGTTTTAGGTTGTTGACCAAGGCCTTCTTTAGAAAATGCTTTTGTCTTAGTTTCCTTTTCACATATCTTAAATCTTTCCATTTCACGCTCGATGAGCTTGCGAGCATCCATCAGAGCCTGCTCATAAGAGGCACTAACCTATGTCAACATATATCAAAAGAAAAAAGTTCTGTCAACATCAGAATCAAGAAGTGTATGTTTAAAGAATAATATTAGCATGATTAACATCAAACAGATCATAGTTAACTCAAAAAGCACAAGATAAAATAATAACTTTCGGGTATACTAAAACAGCTAAAACATTAAAAAATGTATGACATTATATATATATATATATATATATATATATATATATATATATAATAGGTTAAAAACAAAAAGAAAAATATTATGGACAAAATATTTAAGACAATGCTATGAATGAATAACGTAAATATATTAAATGATGCAGATAAAATTGCTTAAGTCATATACACGTCTCTTCTCCAGGTACAAAGTTTGTTGCTACAAAGCTTGAATGGTGCAACAATGTCTACAAGTTGTTTTGGCAGTTGCTTTTTTAAGGAAAGCTGCGCACAGAAGAGCATAGAGCTCTTTCATTCTGCTCCCTTTGAATGGTGATGGTGCAACAATGTGTACACGTTCTTTTGGCCGGTGGCCGGTGCTTTTTCAAAGAAAGCCATGCACAGAAGAGCAGGGAGCTCTTGCTAATGATCATTATAATACACGTGTGGCATGTATGTGCCATGTGGCGAAAGAGAAATGCAGCTAAAACTTCACAAGTAAAGGAACAAGGATGGATGCTGAGAAAGAGGTGTAGGAAAGCTGAAAGCATGCACGAATAAATAGGCAAAGTCGTTAATATCGCTTGGGGAGAACCTCAAGCTAGTTCGAGGATAATAGGATAATACTTTTATTAACACACTGATAAGTAAACAAAATCCACTCAATGTCTCATTCATGTTATCAGCACCAGACCAGCTTTGCTAATTGAACCAGGGCCCCGAAACTGGACATTGACTAGTTCCACAATATAACCGACAATATATTTTACCATTTAAAAATCAAAGGTTCCGACATTAGGTAGCTGACAGACCCCAAACCCAGCATGATAAGCATCAACTTTACACTGTAACTAATGTAAATAGCATATGACTTTACTTGAGATCAGGTACTTCTAATATTAATAGTTTTCCAATAAGACAAGGTCAGCTAAGTCATTACCCAGGATTCAACCAGCCATGAAATTGTAATAATTTTATTGGCAGCAAATCATGCAAAATATTCAGATAAGTCAAACCCACTACAACTCACCCGCTTCAAAATACTGGTATTGATTAAAACTCAAGATATTCAAACAATGATATGTAGATTCAACTAATCATATTCAAGCAAATTGTAAAAATGAATGACCAAGAAAACCAAATAACTCAAAATGGCAAAGATTATCTCTTAAGTTCTATAAAAGAAAATTGGGAAAATAAGAAGCAATAAATGAATGATGAAATAACAGTGCAATGACCTTCTTATCCTTGATCTCGCTGGACTGAATCCATGTCTTGATCTGGTCTCTGTACCTCTGAAGTTTCTTGATCTCCTTCTTCAAGTCAGCCTCGAACTTCTCCTTCTGATTAGCATTGTCAGTATCATAAACCTGAGCAGTCAAGAAAACATTCAAAGAGCAACACTATGAGTCGGTGTTAAATGCAAGATTGAACAAGGAAAAAACGATTGCAATAAGAAAACCTTGTTCCAGATACTATCGAAAACATCAACGCCTTCTTGAACTTTCTTTAGAACTCTGTCGATCTCGCCCTGTAACTTTCTGCTAGCCCCCATTGTGAAACTGTAAAGGAGAAACGGAGAGGTTTAGCGAAATTTATCATCCAAGATCGTAGAGAGGGTTTCTCTCGTCTGTGTTTTCTAGGGCTTCGCTCGTCTGTGATTGTCTAGGGTTTTCGTTGCGCACAAATATAGAGATCGAGGTATGGAGATGAGACGGAGATGAAGATTTGGCAGACGAGACGAAATAACGGTTTCACGATGTAACTGTGGGCTGGGCTTTATAATACTTTTGCTCCCACAAACCCTAACTTGGGCTTGCCTTCTTTTTCATCTCTCAACTAATGGTCCATGGATTGGGCTTTTATAGTTTTTCTAAATGTGTTTCTTGGGATTTAGGTTTTATAAAAACATGGCTTTAGATTTAAGCTTTATGAAATTCTGGCTCGTGGGCTCGGACCTAATTAAGGCCCAGTAATTTTTTTATTTACATTATTACCTATTTTTTTGTTAAATTTTTAAAAATACCCTGATCAATTTATAAAAATATCCCACTTTACATTCTTGCCCCCGCTGATTTTTTTAGATCCAAAATTAATCATCTCGTTTTTCACTCTCTACCCACCTCCACATTCATGGTGATTAATTCTCTTTCACACACTTTCATATTTCCACTTAATTTTTAAAAATATTCATTCTTGCACCCACTTATATTTTTATATCCAAAATAAAGTAAAGTAATCTCTCACTTCTTCACTTTCTATTGTCTCACATTCGTTGTAATATATAAAACAGACACTTAAAAAGGTCAAATAATCTAAATCTCCGACGCATGTAACATAACACTATTCAACACGTGTTGGACAAGCCCACGAAAATTTAAATTTTCGTATTCATTATTTTTCAAAAAAACAAAAAAAAAATTATCTTCATTCTTCAATGACGCCTCCTCCTCAAAAAATAAAAAATAAAATAATACTAGGTCTGTCACTGTACACTTATCCTCAAATTTTTCATTCTTCAATGGCGCCCCCTCCCAAAAAAAGTTCTTGAAAACTTTCAATGAAATAATATTTTTGTGATTTTTGTATTTTCATTTCACTAAAACCAAAAAGGATATTTCTAGCAAAATAATAAATTTGAATTCCCTTGATAGAGAATATAAGGGCAGAATGGTAATCACGTGTTCGTTTGTCCTTTTCATTTCCCTACAATGTGACTTACATTTTTCTCCTTCCTTTTTATTTATCACCTTTTCCTTAATTTTAATTTCGTGGATTCAAATGATACTAGAATTGATTGCTGAATTTAGGAAATCTGTGAAAATATGTTATTGTAACTAACATTTCCTTCAAAAATTTCCCACATAATAAGAGAATAGAAAAATAAAGAATAACTCACGTTGTGTTTGCTTTAAAAAAATATAAATCAAAGGGATATTTGAAATAGAATCAAATAAATGGTTAGTTATTTTATATTTTAATTGTTTTTCTACATAATAATTTATTATTATTTTTGTTATCACGTAAAATGCAAGGACAATTTGGAAAACAATGGCAAAGTAACAGTAGTACATATGGTAATATTGTAATAATGGTAGCAGATTTATGTTACAGTTTTCACATCCAATTCAGATGGAGAGGTTGTCAATAGAGGGTTGAGGTTGTTAGGCTTATATATAGAGGGTTTAATTTTATCTGGTCGTATGACAATGAGGATACCAAAGGCGGTATGGGCCAAATCCAACCCGCATGATGAAGAATAGGCCAGGAAAATGGCCTGGGCCCAAATCAAGCTGTCGTGAGGCAAGCCCAATGCCAAAGAGGGAAGCTAAAGGCCTGAAAGACGAATAGATCCATGAATGCAAAAGCCTCAATGATAAGCCCAATAAAAAAAGATAGTTAGGGAACTTCTAGAACATTGCAAACAATCTATAAATAGATGAAAATAAAAGAAAAAAGGGGATGAAAATTTTTTAAGTATAATGAAACTCTGTCAATTTAGAGAGAGAAAATTTATTGCATCTTCAATGGTGCCATCCGTGGGAAACGATGAGAATTCATTGATGATTCACTCAGATTGATTTGATCTAGTGGTATAGCGCTTGAAGACGAAGCCTAATCGCTGAAGGCAGAATTAAGATCGGTGAAATTGTGATCGGAGAAATTGGCGTTCGATCTACGCAGTTCTGATTTGTGTTTGTTTTGGAGAGCTGTGAAGTCGAGAATCGCTGAAATTGCTAAATTTGGCAAGTTCGTCGCCGGAGCAATTCAGATCTGGTTAATCACGATCAAAATTCAGCTGCACTAGAATCCAAATCTAGAGCGTCAGCATTGGCAAAACTCAGATCCGATCATAAATTTGCGATTGATGACTTTGCTACGATTCGGAATGATGATCGGAGAAGAGAGTTCAATCCAGTGGAGAATAACCAGCAAATAAAGCTTGATGAACTGATGAACATGATTGAGGCACTGAGAAAATAAAATGCAGAGTTAAGAGCTGGAATGGAAAGCCGAGAGGTTCTGGTTGCGCCGCGACCGCCTCCGGTGGGTGAAAGAAGTGTGTGACCTGATGATGTACATCAAAGTGAGCAAGAAGGAGATAACCACATCAATCTCCACCGCGAGGAGGTTAGGATGGAGAATTTACCGCCAAACGCTCGTCAAGCTGAGGATTGAGAAGGATCTGTACATCTTGATCCTCATCGTGAGCATATCAGGCGGGATAAAAATACTGTTTTCAATCCGCATCAGGAAAGGCACAGCCGCGAACAGGATATGGAGTTTGATGGTCACAAGATTAACTCACCCTGGTTCACTGAGGAAAGGTCGTTCGATCCACCTTATCGGCCTTCAATGGCCACATATGATTATAGGAGTTCGGAAAGAAGATTTACAGACCAAAGAGTTGTCACAAGGTTTGAAAGAGAGAATGAGGCCCTCCGTTCGGCGGCACGGACGGTTGATTCGCCGTTCACTGACGAGATCTTGAATGCTCAAAACCCGATGAAGTTTTCCATACCTGTTTTCATTCTGTTCGATGGAACGACCGATCCGATTGATCATGTATATCACATTCAGTTGAAAATGGCACTGAACACAGATAATGATCCTTTGATGTGCAAATGTTTTCCTACAAGCTTTGCTGGACCGGTGCTCAACTGGTTTAAGAACCTGCCGAAAGGCTCAATGGACAACTTCTGTAACTTGTGTGATCGATTCATAAGCTAATACTATAAGAATAAGCGCCCGGCAAAAGATATCTCTAGCTTGTTCACCATGAAACAACATGACGATGAGCGTCTCCAAGCTTTTCTTACCAGGTTTAACCTAACCAAGAGCGTGGTGATAGAGTGTCATCCTTCCACAGCAGTTCAGGCGTTCAAGTTAGCTATGACCCGAGGGACACCGTTCCATACCAGTCTGGTGGTGAACACGCCAAAGACAATGGACGAGCTGAATGAGAGAGCTGATGGTTTCATACGCCTGGAAGAGGAAGAAGCAGCTAATGCTAAGAAGACATCTATCATCTCCACGTAAGAGAAGTCCAAAGCGAAGATACGGCATAAGCAAATTCCTACGCAGAGTCAAACCTCCTGGAGGGTAGAGAAGAGACCTAGGGAGGATGACTTGATTACTCCATTCAAAGTTACACTGGTAAGGCTACACCAAGAGAACAAAGATAAGTTTCGCTCTCCCTTGCCAATTAGACAACCTCTTGAGCAAAGGGATCAATCCAAACATTGTGCTTTTCATAGTGATTTTGGTCATCAGACTAATGAATACAGGAACTTAAGGAGACAAGTGGAGATGCTGATCACTAGGGGAGAGTTTGCAAGGTATGTTCAAGGACCAGCCCAAGAGCAGAATCGACTAATTGAGCAAGTCAAAAGAAATCAAAAGCCGAATCACCATAACACTCAGCCCCTTCGGATTATAAATGCCATTCATGGTCGACCTGAACGAGCCGAAGAGTCCGAAGAATTGACCCGAACGTGTCTTCGACAAGCACAAATGAAGAGACGAATAGGCAGTGTCAACACTCTGTACCAACCAAGCTCAACAACGCCTATAAGGTTTGATAAGACAAACCTGATGCGAGTTCAAATTCCTCATGAAGACCCATTGGTTGTCAGTTTGACAGTGGCTGAGTGTTTAGTACGAAGAGTGCTAATTAATCCAGGGAGTAGTGCAAATATCATGCCAAGGGTCACCTTTGATCGCCTATAAATCAATCCAAATGAGTTGAAGTCTACTGGAAACCCACTGTTGGGGTTTGATGGCAAATGGGTAGAATCAATCGGCACAGTGGAGTTGATGGTCCGTGCAGAAAGGAACCTTGTCGAAAGTTTCGTGGTGGTGGAAATCCATCCCTCCTACAAATCTGCTAATGGGGAAGGGGTGGATCTATAGGGTACAAGGAGTCCCATCGACCCTATATCAGGTGATGAGATGCATAAGTCTAGACGGGAGTAAGGTGGTAGATATCCGTGGAGATCAGGTCGCAATAAAGGAGTGTTACTTGGTGACTCTAAAAGCTGCAGGGAAGGGAAAAGCTCCTGCCCGATCTGTTGCTGAGTAATAGCAATTACAAAAGCCTCCCCTTAGCATGAACGGAGAGGAAGAGCTTCCGGTGCTGACCAAGGAACCACTGGTTGAAGTTCAAATTGATCATTTAAGCCCAGATCGGACCACGAAGGTAGGTTCCGGGCTTGCTGAGGAAGAAAAACGTCAATTGGTTGATTTCCTCTCCCAGAACGCCGATGTATTCGCTTAGAGCCATCTCGACATGCCAGCGATCGACCCATCAGTCTCTTGCCATTCTCTTAATGTAGATCCGAATGTCAAGCCAGTGAGGCAGAAGTAGAGAAGGTTTGCCCCGGAGCACAACCAGATCATTACAGATGAAGTTAATCGATTGCTGGAGGTTGGGTTCATCAGAGAAGTACAGTACCTGGACTGGTTCTCGAATGTGGTTGTAGTACAAAAGAATAATGAAAAATAAAGAGTTTGCATTGACTTCACTAATCTGAATAAAGCCTGCCTGAATGATAGTTTTCCACTTCCAAAGATTGATCAAATGGTGGATGCAACAACTAGGTATGAGTGACTGACCTTTCTGGATGCATATTCAGGCTACAACTAAATCCCGATGGACCCAGGCGATGAGGAAAATACCTCTTTTGTCACCGAACGAGGGATCTATTGTTACAAGGTTATGCCGTTCGAACTGAAGAATGCC